CAAGCTTTTTTGTTTGTTTGTTTATTTCTAACAATTAAGAAGTGCAAAATTTTGAATCCTTTGCAAATCAAGCTATAATGATAAAAGTAAGTATCACTATTTTCAATAAGTATATTACAATATTTCTATATGAATGTACATCCTTCTATAAGAATACATGTATATAGTTGCAAAATTAATAGCAATCATTTACAACATTCATTTATAAAGCCAATTATGTGAAAATAATATATTGTCCGCTATATGCCATAAATTAAAGAAAACAGTAGGTTTTTGACGGTTTTTAAAACAAGGTTTTTACCTCTGTCATGTCAAAAACCAGTTTTTGACGGCAAAAACCCAACCCTGTAATTAATATTAATAAAAAAAGGGAAGGTCAAATATACCGCATTGATTCATTAAAATTGATTGATTCATTTTGCTAAACTTGAATTGTAGTAAAATTCCTCTGACAGTAATATTTAATTAAAATAAAAAAATATGGTGTTCTTAAAAAAGCTACAAAAAAAAACACATTACTATAGCGAACTATGAATTATATTTTGACGATTTCGGATTTACTTTCTATATAATCAATTTGAAATTCTAGCTGAAACCAGTCATTACGGAAATTTTTTACTATCAAAATAGAATAGAAAAATTCTGCTCCGATTTACTTGGAAGCCATCTTTCGAAAATAAATCTGGAGGGAAAAAAAAACATCTTTCAAAAAAATGTGTAATGAAAATTTCTCTGCAACAGCTTTAAGGTTTTGCAATAATTTTGCCACGACACAGAGCATTCATACAGGGTATCTGCTACATTTAAGATTTTCAAATCCATGACTTTTCATGACTAATTCCTACAACTTTTCATGACTTACCAAAGTAAATATTTTCTCTTACAAAAACGAAACAATACATTTAAAAAAGCATAATACTAACATTAATTGAAATGATAGTATAACCAAATTTGTTATACCTTGCATCTTCATATTTATAGATTTTTTAAAAAAAAGAGTTAAGGCAATAAAATAGCTGGGGAAAAAGATACAAAATCAAAAACTTTTAGAAGCATATTTTAAAGATACTTTTCTTGTTCATCAGAAAGGAAAGGAATACTCAAGATTTTTCTGTTCTCATTTTGGAATTAAAAAATTTTATGCCAATGACTGGCTTGCTTCAGCTAGAATTTTAAATTAATAAAATAAAAATAAATAAATAATAAAGAAAGAAAGAATTCTGAAATCAGAAGTTTAAAAGATAATTCTTTCTAGAAATGAGGTTCTTTCTTTCATTTTTTGAAAGAATACTATAATTTTTAAAGAACAAGATAAAAACATTTTATATTTAAATATAATATGAATGTGAGTGGAGATTTTGTTACAAATTCAGATATTCGGAACATCTTAACACTGTGAAATTGAGAAGGGGGGGGGGGTAAATTCCATTTTAAAAGCTAGACTTTCCATGATTTTTTAAAAAAAAATCAGTTAAAATCAGGACAATTCATGACTAATTTTGCCCAACACCGAAAACCATGACTTTCCAGGTGTGCTGAGACCCTGTTTATAGGATTCAGGAATATCACTGTATGTATTACCAGTATTTCATAATTTATTTAAATTTTTATAACAGTCAATGTTATCTTAAAACTGCTTTGCCTATTATGAGTGAAGAAAGGCAATATTACCTTGAAAAGATCTAGGAACAACCTTTTCATGCTGACGTAATATCTCTAAGACATGGACATTAGGAGAAAAATCCTCACTTAATGATATTAGCCACTTGTTGTTCTTTTCTTCAATCATATTAGCTTGAATTGAATTTTCTAACATGAGATCTCGAACTTTAGAAATGGGTGTAGCTTCTGGGTAGCTGTTAAAACCACATTCCACACCAAACAATGGATACTTAAAAAACTGTTTATTCATCGGGTGAATGTCTTTCACAGAAATTAACTCTCGATTTCCGTAATCGAGAAAAACGACTTTGCATTCGCTTCCAGAGCAAGCTTCTACTCTCGCTCTATAGTATTGATTGTCAGCTTCGTACTTGGCACAAACTTTATCTCCTGTCTTTGGTTTGAAGGTGGTATTTTGAGCCTCGCTGTAGAACTCATTTATTTCCTCTTGCATTTCTTCAAGTTTGGACGAACTCAACTTCTCAAACTGCCCAAAGAAAGAATCTAGAGAAGTAAAACTAGTAATGTATAAAATTTCAACTTCAGCAATGGGAATAACGGCCAGATTAGAAAATTTATTTCGAATCTTATCGTTGACCGATGTCGAGCTAGATTTGTCTTGAAGGACAACAGAATAATTTTTTCCCATATGGTTGTCTTTAATGTCTTTCACAAAAGCTTGAAAAGATTGCCCGGCAGTCAATTCTTCAAAATAATCTAACATTTTATCTTTTTGGGAGGATTCGGTGGGAAGATCAATGTCAGCTAAATTGCACTTGTAAGCTTGAACTGGATAGCTGAGCAATTCTTCAGTTATTTTTCTCAGATCTTTCAATGTAGCATTATCAAAGTTTCCAAAATCAACAAAAAAAACTTCGATATCTCGTTCATGATTGACTTTAACTATCTCTGCCCGATACCATTCATTATCTTCAGAAAATTTAGCGCAGACAGGCGATTTTGGTAGGCATTCCTGAAGACTTATCGGCCTCAAATCATTTCCGAAACTCAGCCTCGAGGAAATGGCGTCCAATTCCTGCTTGCTTTGCACTAATTGACAGAAGAATTCGGAAATGTCGTTGATGTAACCAATATTTACTTCACACCTCTCATTACAAACTAATTTGTTGTAAGTAAAAGGCAACGATGAAAACAGTACACTTTTTTGCATGAATGGTAAGAACACATCTTTACCGTGGTATTTTAGTAGAACAACATAAGCCTCACCAGTATGTGCCAAAATTTCACACTCTAAGGAGGGATATTGATTTAAAACTCGCCAAAAATCATCTTTTGCGATGTCAAATTTTTTCGGCATTGTACAACATATAGCTTGAGCATAGAGTTGTAAAAATCGAGGGTTCATCATCTTTAGGTCTTGAAAAGCTTTGATTTCGGTGAAACCGTAATCCACGAAGGACACGTGACAACCACTTTGATTAAATGATACAATACGACATCTGTAATAACGCTGCTTGTGGCTGCTTAAACATGGCTGATTTAGCTGAGGTGTGATGAGAGGACGTAAATTTTCTGGTCTAGAAGCAAAGATTTGTATCTCTTCCATTAGCTTATTTAACTCTAATTCGGCTGCAGAAAGCTGCACATAAAATTTTTGTGCGTTCTCAATACAGGAAATTTTCACAAGATGAGAGGTGCTGGGATTTAGAGTATTCATATTGTAATTTGCAGTATTCGTATTGTAATTTGCAGTATTCGAATTGTAATTTGAAGTATTCATATTATAATTTGCAGGATTTGCATTTTTGATAACTGCCAAATCGTCATTAATTAACCTCTGAACAAAAGGTTCACTTTCACCTTTCTTAGCAATGCGCACAATAGGAATATTTTGGAAATTAGATATTATTAACAATGACATAGTGTTGAGCATAAGTTCATTTTCACACCGCTTAATAGCCTCCCGTGACCACTGAATATGATCACTTGGCTCAACGTCGGCCAAGATACATTCAGATGCCTGACCTTCATAACGACAAATAGGATTTTCCAATTGTCTCACGTCAGCTACGGATATTTGTTCTTCAGGCCCATAATCTATAAGACGAACTAAAACATTTGACGGTCCCAATGGTGACAAGACAACAGCTCGACACCACTGATTTTTGATTTTAGAGCGAACAGCATAATGCAATCCATTTGAAAGCTGATCGGTTCGCATAAATCCCGATGTACAGTCCAACTCCTCTTTATGGGTTAGAAAAAAATATTCGAAATTTTTCACTAATTCAATTGAATTGGGAGTCAATCCCCATATCTTTAAAATGGGTCCTTCTCCTTTTACGTGAGTCACAAGGAGCTCTTTCGCCGGATTAGGATTATTTCTATATTGAGACATTTCTATTTAATTCTCACAATTTATACGAAGAACATTTCGATTATATATATATTTGACAATTAGTAGCTATCAAAGACGAAGCTATTAATAACACAATAATATACACATGCCACAAGAATGAGACCAACAAAACAGTATAAGAATGTTTTTCTTTGCGGTTATGAATAGTTGACTGTGTGGAGCAGATGGCGCTATGGGTAAAAATTTATCGTAAGACTTCCGCATTACTGCTTCCAAAGTTGCCTAAGCTTGAAAAAGCGGGCCATCCAATAATTTTATACTTGTAGTGTTTTCAATCTAACGTGTTCTTTTAATTTGACTTTCAATTGTTGTTGTTGTTGTTGTTGTTAATTTATGTCGCACTAGAGCTGCACAATGGGCTATTGGCGACGGTCTGGGAAACATCCCGGAGGATGATCCGAAGACAAGCCATCACAATTTTGATCTTCTGCAGAGGGGATGGCTCCCCCACTTCGGTAGTCCAATGGCCTGCACTCAAAGTCGAGCACTTTATGGTAGAGCAGTTTAACGAGGACCAATACCACACACCCTCAGTCCTAGCGCAGACTGATCCAAGTGGCCACCCACCCGCGCACTGACCGCAGCCAGTGAAGCTTGACTTTCGTGATCTGCTGGGAACCGTATCTTCACAATCAGTTCATGGTGGGACTTCAAAGAAGCAAACTACAGATGAATTCGATGCTATGATGCTCCCCGAAAAGTAACAAAAGGCGCTATTTTGCACACTTAGCTGGAATCTTATATCCACCAAATAATCTTTTAAAAAATATCTTCGTGGTAGTGTTTTGTGTGTAACGAAAAATCTGATAATTTCAATTTAATCTTAATTAAAATTAATTATTGTTGTTGTGGTTGTTGTTCATTTACGTCGCACTAGTGCTATACAATGGGTTATTGGCGATGGTCTAAGATGATCCGAAGACATGCACACAAGACAGACATTACAATTTTGCTTAGAGGAGATATTAAGGTAGAGATAACCAATCTATTGTTTGAGCTCTGAAAACTTCTTCAGAGATGGGGTTACCTTTTCAGCGAAAAATTCATGGCTGGGGGTCGCATCATACAGGAATATTTTTAATAGTACATGAAGAGTTTTTTCTCTTTTTATTTTGAATGCCTTCCCAATTTTATTCGTGACCGTAAAAGATAAGTTTTCATATCAAAATACGTTAGAATATGCTCTCTACACTTAATTATTTACTTTTAATCACGTAATCGTAAAAAGCTAAGTTAAATATGATTTTAAAATCAATGAAATAAAAATGATGGTTTTTTGAATCGAGAAACAAATCGAATTGAACCGAAGTTATAAATTCGCGATTATAACTAATTTTAATCAATGCGTAAATTTTTTTTATTGAGATAACGTATAATATTAAGAAAAATTAACGGGACAACAAAAATGGCAATATTTTTATTCAAATAATATATATATACGGGTATACAATCATCTTTTGCATACCTTTTTTATGGTTTTAGTGTTGTTCATTATTTATAATTTTTCTGATAAAAACAAAATATTTTGTTCTATTTTTAAAATAAATATTAATATTGCTTAATACTCCACAGTTTGGGTTTCTAGTTTGCTTGCTATGCGATAATTATTTATTTTAACCAATGCAACAATTGAAATTTTAGTACGTTAACATAAAATAATAAAAATATTTGAACTAAAATAACAAATTTTGCTTTTGTTTTTCTCTTTATTTAAAAAAAGGTATTAATAAATATCTTATAAGAACATACTATCTACTTGCTGTTAGAAACATTGGCAGTTCTCGACATAATTAACATTTCATATAAAAAAAATATTGATAATCAAAAAGAGAATTATTCCCTTTTTATTCTCAGAAATCAAAATAAAATACATAAAATTATAATAAATTATTGAATAATAGGACCCATTATTAATAATAGAACCTATAATAATCTAGTTAATATTTTCCTGAATAATAAATATACAGTAATAAATATAAAATTTTCTAAATAAATATGAATATATCCAAACAATTTTTTCTATATAATAAAATAATTTTCTAAAGAAATAAAAGAAAGTATTATTCGGCTTATAAATTTTATTTGAATATAATTTTACTTTTGATCGAAAAAATTATTTATAACGTAAAATTTACTTTTATTATACTTATATACTTTTTTTTTGTACAACTAAAATATATAATTAAATTCGCTTGAAATTATTAAAATATTTTAACGCATCAATATAAGTTACAGAGCGGGAATAAAAAGCGATTTGTTTGCAAAATAATGATGTGAAAAAAATGCGCCAAATCCGATGCATGTGCTTCATCAAAAAAGCAGTAAAAACACCAGAATATTTATATCATTATGTAATATAATTGTAATGAAAATACCTACAAATGTTAACAACATTATAATCTATTAATGTAAATAAAAATGTAAAAAAATATGTCATATTTTTCTTGTTAAAAACCAATTTAATTCATTCCATAACCTAACGTGCTAACATACAAATTGGAAATGAATGTTTACGAGTGAATATAAAAGAAAAAAAATTTATTTGAGAAATGCAAAACGTCCTCCTTTCATGAATTTTTCTTCACATTCGTATGCACAGCAGTATTCGATCATTTTTATTTAAATTTATTGTTCAAAAGAAAGTTCAGCAATCCACCTCATAGTACAAGTTCTACTGGGTTTACTGGAGAGAAAATCGTCCCAGAATCACGTGACAACGTTCTTTTCAACAAGGTAAGGGGGACTGGTTCTCTCTATGTAAATCTCTCCTCTAAGCAATTTTGATCCTATGCATATGGGANGGGATGACACCCCCGCTGTGGTAGCCCGACGACCTGCACGCGAAATCGAGCACTTTATGGTAGATCAGTTTAACGCTGACCAATACCGTAGACCCTGGGTCCCTACTCAGATTGCAACCATCTGCACACTAACCGCAGTGTTGCTTGACTTCAGTGATCTGCTGGGAACCGTGTCTTAACTATCAGTCTACTGTGGGACTCAACACTGACTACACTCAATGCTCATGTACGGTGGGGATATCAGAAAATAATCCTGATAAAGGTTTCCAAGGTTTCGGATTTGTGTGATGGGCGTAGAATAGAGCAGATTGTCACAGATCTCGTTTTAAGGTTAGAAAGTTTACACGTAAACCAAATAAAAACCTTACTAGGTTTACACTAAGAGGTTTTTGCTGCGTTAAAATAAACCTTATGTTGCTATCTGTGGGGTGAACTGAATGCTCGAATACGCCATCTGGGGAGAAGATCGCTTCCATGTCTTCGGTCCTTCCCTCTCCTCCTCTTTTCAGTTGTATAGAAATGTTCTACGATATTTTTCGTATTTAACCCATATAGCACTCATCTTCCGAAACCTTTCCCTAGGACCTCCCAAATGCATCCCTTTCTTCCGAGGGAAGGCGCGGATAAATAGGGGAAAGCCGAGGGAAATTCCATTCTAACATTCCTACGGATAACGATACGTAGGAAGTCCTTCGGAAACATCGCCTACGGATATTCCTCCACTGGTCATCCGTTAGAAATCAATCCAATGGATTTTTCTCCCTGGTTATTCCGTAGGAGCATCATAATTACTTATGTCTGTGCGTGCAACCGGCTGAGCAATTGCGCATGCGCTAGATGTGCTTGACTAGAATTTAATTCTCAAAAAAGAATTTTTGAAAAGTAACCCTGCTGAGTGTAGCTATGTTGACTGTTGTAATTTTGAGCTCTTCATTTATGATTCAGTAAATAAAGTAAGTTAATCGTTTTGAATAATTTTTTTCAGTTTATAATATTGTATCTATGTATTTTAAACGTTTACCACATTTTATAATTCTAATTATCTGTGTTAAAGTAGTTAATGATTTCCACGTTACTGAGTTAGGCCTAGTAANCTCTTTTCAGTTGTATAGAAATGTTCTACGATATTTTTCGTATTTAATTGATAAAAATGCTTTTTGAAATTCCCCTGACGCTTTCTTTTAGAACTATGTTTAATGTAGTTCTCAATTCCATATAACTTAAAAGTTGAAACGAACTTAAAAGTTTTTAATCTATCTGATAATCAAGACAGAAACTAACATGCTCTGCAATGAAACAATGACATGAAACTTCTGCTCTAAGCCGCCTGCAGCCCATTTCGATCACCAATTCGTAGAATAAGTTTGGTAATAATATCGGATGGTAGTTCTAGGACGGCACCTTATTTACGTTGTATGTACTAGAGTTGCACAATGGGCTATTGGCGATGGTCTGGGAAACATCCTTGAGGATGATCCGAAGACATGCCATCATAATTTTGATTCTTTGCAGAAGCGATCTCATTTTCAATTTAGACATAGATCTGAAGGAGATGGACATTTTCTCCAGGTCCCGGTACCATACAGACTGGTACTGCTTAACGACCGACCACAGGGTTTTCGATTCCACAGATTTTACGAGCACATGTATCACATGTACTAGGTGGGTCTTAGCAAAGTAGTGGTTCGAATCCAAGTCCGTGAGGACCAGAGTCTGATTACTTAGCAACTGAAATACCACCGTCCGAGATACAATAATACACTTCCTAATATCTGAAAATATTTTGAAATTTTCCGGTATATCCCTCCGCTTATGTTATGCTTACAACGCAATAATGTGCGAGCAGGCTTGATATTCTAGGAAGTTTTATTATTGTGATTTTTTACCAAATTTAAGCAAAATTTTACCTTTTATATTTTTTTGACTTATAAATTCTAACAATTCGTGTGCCGAAAACAAATTTAAGAAAATTAATATCATAACATTAATAAAGTGAAAGGTTTCTTACGTTTTGAGGGATCAGTATGCGTGGGGACCGAGTGTGTGCGGTATTGGTCCTCGTTAAACTGTGCTACCGTAAAGTGCTCGACTTCGCACGCAGGTCGTCGGGCTACCGAAGCGGGGGTGCCACCCCCTCCGCAGAGGATCAAAATTGTGATGGCATGTCTTCGGATCATCCTCCGGGATGTTTCCCAGACCGTCGCCAATAGCCCATTGTGTAGCTCTAGTGCGACGTAAATAAACAACAACAGCAACCTACGTTTTGAGTGTTAACCCTTATTTGGTTATAATTGTGCAAAATATTGCCTGGGAGAAAGTTAAATTGAAAGAACGCGTAATATTGTGAACACTCTAAGTATAATAATATTGAATGGAGAGCTTTTCCGAGCTTATGTTAAAAAATCAGTCGGAAATAGTAACTCAGAAGTTAGGCGAATTTTAACCCTTAGCGCTATCTATGTTTAGATTTATACGGTCAACCATCCATTTAAATGCGATTTGAGACTGTAACTGTATTTGCAGTCAATGGTACTGTGGTGTTTTGAAATCTGTTCTAGGTTTTCAGTTGAATTGCCTTGTGAAAGAATTTGAACCAAGTTTGTAGTTATTAATTGCTATATTTGTATTTACTTAAAAAGAATTAAAAGCATAAGTTATACTGTATTAAAAAAAATTGTCTACTATTAAACTTTTAATGATTTGCTATTTAGTATAATTTTGAAGTTTATTACATACACCGGCTTACAAACTCCTGCTTTCATCTCATTTCTTAAAAGTCTCATGAGTGATCAATTTTGTCTACTATTAAACTTTTAATGATGTGCTATTTAGTATAATTTTGAAGTTTATTACATACACCGGCTTACAAACTCCTGATTTCATCTCATTTCTTAAAAGTCTCACGAGTGATCAATTTTTTATAAATCAATTAAACTTGAAAAATTTTCAAAATGTTATTAAGTAATGTACTGGGGTCTTTTGGGTCCATTGTTTTTGTTTTGCTGATAATCTGAGAATGGTGCAAATTCATTTTTTTATAATAATTTCATTTAAACTAATATGGGCAGTGATCTTTAAAATGCGTGGACTTTTTTTTTACTTACATCGCCATGTCTTGGCAACTTCCAGGCAGCGGCCCGCGAGAAACTAAAAGAAAAACATCACGAAAGGGAACCATCTCGAAATGTATTACTCATAGCCACCCCTACATCTACATGTCTTTTTTCTTTTTTTTTTCTTCTAAAGTTTGCAACTTTAAAATACTTTGGCGCTGCTATTTATACCCTTCATATGTTTAGCTTTCCTTAACTTTGAAATTTTAAATTCATCATATATAGTTTTATTTTATTTTACAACCGGTGTTGAACAGCAGACCCAATTTTGGGTTTACGACTACTATTCAACTCTGTAGCCCTGTAGATTTGAACCCTTAAAGACAAAGGAACTCCTAGATCAAGTATTGGAGGAATGGAAAACCACAAAAACCTCCCAGAGTTAGCTTGACAGCTAGGGACTCTAACCCAAGGCTTGAAAAACCACCCTGTCCTCGGCTGTCAAAAATTCCCCTTGGACAATGAATTTCCCGAATCCGACATCCGCACGGACAGCCATTTTCCCGTTAATGTTAGTGATACATTTTCAAATTTTGTTATCTTACAAGAGTCTAGTGCCTCACTTCTAAAATGACCCTCTAATCTAGAAATACAGCAACATACTGAGCATGGTGGAATTGATGTTTTCTCTGTCTCCTGTACTGCAGCGGTTGAAAGGGACATTTGTTATCTAAATTATTTCATAAAAGAAATAAATTTTATAAAAAAAATACTGGGTTCCTATTAGTAACCTAGTACCTATTCCTTTTATTACTGTATAATGCAAGCCTAGTATTTGTAATCCTAGTGACTACTTATTCATTGTGCAATTTATATAAATGTTTGTAATAAAGAAGAGAAAATGATATTTTTATTTATTTAGAAGCGACGGGTTAGTTTCAAAGGAGGACGGGTACATTGTTGGACAAGCCGTCCTCAGGGACGGGTAAAAGTTTTGAGTTTTTTCGAGCCCTGCTCTAACCCATGATCCATCTGCCACTAAGGATTATTTAAGTCAGCACTGTGTTTGGTGGCATCACAGAAACAAATTGAAAAGTATAACTTATGCACCCCCAGGCACACATGTAAATGTTTTTTTTTTTTTCAATTTGCAATTTTAAAATTTATATAGCACCATTGTGATTGTAGTTAGCGCCACAGATTAGGATAACATTTTATCCAAATTATATCTGTTATAATTGCGTAGATTATTTCATGTGATTATGATGCTGAGGATTAAGCAATTACTTTCATACCAAAAAAAATGGTGAACAAAAATGATTAGGCAGATTTCTGTGTATGTCCCTAATAGTGCACAATACGGAATAAGGTTTGATTTGTAGTCTTTGTATTCATTTATATATATAAAAAATAAAATAATGTAGTTACTTTTCTTAATTGAGTATAAAATTTTTAAAATTTTTCAGAATGGAGGTAACACCAAATAACCTTCAAACACTAGTGAATTATTTACAGCACACATTAAATCCTGCTCCTGAGATACGAAGACCTGGTATATTTTATTTCATTGTTATCTATAGAATAGTTTTTTTAAAAAATTTCTTATTATGTAATCTATTTATGTTAAGGCCGGCCGCACACTGAGGGAGCTAGCGGTAGGTGAAAAATCTCCAGTTGCCTCTTGACGAAGAGGTTTTTCAGGGGGTGAGTTGCAAAATGATTGCACATTGAGAAGTGTAATTGCCTCCTCAACGCAGGCGCAGATTTGCCAGATATTGTCTAAACTGGCGTCATCGAATAACGACATTAGTGTTAGAACTGGTTGATGTAGGAAATTTGATATCAGGATATATCGTCTGTTAAACATCGCATTATAACATAAGTTCGAAAGTTTTTTTTTTCTGAAAAAACTTTACAATCATAAATTTTTAATAAATCAATAAATCTGTGACAAAAGAAAATGTTAATTAAAAAACTGCTTCTATATCATTTGCCTTGCTTTAAGTTTTTCTCTCAAGTTAAGGATTAATATCGGTGCTAGTTGAATATTACTTTCCCTGCGAGTTGAAGATTAATTTTATTGAAAGTTAAAAAAACATTTTCTTTGTCTGCAGTCACAATTTTTTTGATTAGTAATTCTTAATAAATGTTTCAACCACTGCTGTGTAATGTTAACATTAAACAACTTTATGAAAATTATTAGTCTTTTAACTTTTTAGGAATACATTACTCATCACTCAAAAAGATGGTTTAGAAAAAAAAATTTCCTTAAAGTGTATCATAATATAATTTTATAATTTTTTTTTTTTTCCTTCTGAATAATAGTATCTTTTCAAATAATGTAATGTTGATAGTGGTTCTTTCTCTATGAAAGATAAAATTGCACAATATTGTCAGACTCAAGACACTGGATAATCTGCGGATTCTGTATAAAGGTCCAATAAAATTTTTAAACTTTATATTATAAATTGAATTATATACTTCTATTTTGCATAATTCATGCTGTTAATTGTATGAAAATTTTTCTGTAATTTTATAATTGAACACCACTTATTTCTCGTTTGTAAACTTTGTAGGTAATTTGATTGTTAATTGTTGTCATAAATATAATTATACCGGAACGAACCGGACCGGAACGAAATTCGATAAATTTTCCCGCTATTTAAAATTTTTTTTTTCCTTACTCATAAGATTTTAGGATTTTTCTTTCTTTTTTGAAAGATGTTTACCTTACCATCATTTTAGAAATAATCATTAGTGTATTACTTCATCGTTTTTTCTTTTTAAGATTATTTCTAAATATTTTTCTAATTTTTGTTGGGTTTAACAATAAAAAAACCGCTTTTTGTAGCGAATCAGAAAACCGGAAAAATCAGTTATCCGGAATAGCGATGGTCCCGATTGTTCCAGATAATCGGTTCCCTACTGTATTATATTATATGGTTAAAAAATAACCTGAACTTAAGAAGTCTTGAATCCCAAGGACCCATTCATTCCAAAATTTAGCATGATTACTGACTAATTATGTAGAAATTAATTTGAGTGACTCTTTTTCTTTGCATTTACTTTCCTACTTTCTTCTCTTAATTTTACCTAGTTTTAAATGTATGTATGTGTACATGTATCTATTTATATTTCAGCTGAAAAATTTTTAGAGAGTGTTGAAGGAAATAAAAATTATCCTATTCTTCTCTTGACTTTGGTAGACAAAGCTGATGTAGATCTCACCATTAGAGTCGCTAGTGCTATCACATTTAAAAATTATGTAAAGAGAAATTGGAGAATTGTAAGTTAATTTTAATTCTCATTATTTGCATATATTTTTGTATTAGTGTGTATGTATATATCAATATATACATAGACACATATACAGTACTATGTCCCATGTCCGGACATCTGTTTACTGGAGGGTCTTTTTTCCGGACACTTTTTAACTGAACAAAACTTTTCCCTTTAAAAAAAAAGCATATAAAGGCAATAGTATGCAGGGATGAAATTACTTTGCTTTTCTGATAATTTAATAGAATTAATAATAGAATTAATAGAATTATAATTAATAGAATAGATAATTAATGGAATTATAAATAACGTAAACAAAATTTAGCATTTCACTACAGCTAAAAAAAATTGCAAATTTTTTTTCTATGTCTCGCGTAAAAGGATTAATATACTGCTACGAATCATGTACACGATTTTAGAGAGTTCAGCGACTTCAAATTTTAAAAGAAATTCTGATTTAAGATGAACTATTCACAACTATGCAGGCTATTAAATTATTATTCATGGTGTGTAGTGTTTTTTAAAAGTGCTTAAAGGTGCTTATTTTCAAATTTCGTTTTTCAAAAGCCCTTAAAGGTTCTTTCTACCTTGGGTGTTTTTGAAAAGTGCTTAATTTTACCTTTTCGAAAATGAGAGTTTTTTCTTTATCATGTCCATTATGTATTGAACAAAGGCGTGTGCTTTTCACATTGTTCTATTCATCATTTTCGCAATTCATTAATTCACAATCTATTTCGGCGTACCGTTGGTCCATAGCACATAAAAGGACCAATCATTTTACATGTTTGATGAAATCCTTGAAAGTCCACATGTGCCTCTACTGAACTCGGGGATTTGCTGAGATTCTTGCACTCTCATGTGCAACTCTGCTGCATTATGCAAGATATTCTCCGTTTCAGGCTTCATTTTCCACCTTCTGATATCGTACCGAAAAACTTTTTATAATGGCCAAACATCTTATTATGGTGGCTAATATAATCAAGAAAAGAGTTTTTAGTCAGAAACTGGTTATTTTATCATGATCATGTAAAGTCTTTGAAAATTATTTTGCATTTTGTTATTGTATATAGTGCTTAAAAATATTTTTTGAGTGCTTAAAAAGTGCTTATTTTTTGTTGAAAAATTTGGCTACGTACCCTGTTATTCAAAAGAGCAATGCAGAGTTTGAAGATCATAATAATATTATATTAAAAAAGAAATCAAAATTTAAAAAACTATGTGGAAATTATAAACTGTTGAAAATGTAATCTAGAAAACCAGATAGACAATAAAATTGTCACAAATCGAAAAGTAATTCTACGAATGGTCGATTCGAATATTTCCTGTATATATAATAATGTATCATTAAAAAAAATACGAAAATCTGTAGAAATAACTGGCAAAAAAAAGAGATTGTAAATCCACTTGGAATTGTGGGGGAAACATCAATTATTGTAATAAAAATGCGTGATTTGAAGTTTGTAGCATGAAATATCTTATTAAAGCATTGAAATTTTAAAAGCCAAGTGAAAATCCGTATTTATTAATCAGTCTTCGAAGTCATACATATTCACTGTGGAAGCGTCGCTAATCGAGTAGATCTAGAAATGATTCTAACTGAAACGCGTGGCTTGGAACTTGCGGTGTGTTATACCATGCGGTGTGTTATACCAGATTTGTAAAACCATGTGGAAATCAGTTGCAAAAATAGCGCAACCCCGCAAACCATGTGGACTTATTCATTTATTGGAATTGACATTATCGTCTTTTTGTTATTTTTTATTTAATGAGGATGTTTTGATGTTTGTTTACCTTAAGGACCTATTATCTGAGAAAATCTATTTTCTGGACTTGCCGAAGTCTCGATGATGCTGAACATGGGACTTTCCATTGTATATATACAGTGGTGGCAAAAAGTGTGAACACTTTTTGAAAGTTTCATGTTTTTCAACTTTGTGTGCTTGTAGAATATATTAATTTTCACTTAAATGCAAACGTTTATATATCAAATTGAAGGTAATTTAATGTAGAATTTAATAATAAATACAGTATTACAATATCTGTATTACAAAAAAAGTTATGCAATTAATAGTAAGATCTATCTTAGATTTGCATTTTTTTAAAGTGATACTTACACAATCAATACTTAGTAGGATAACCCTTAATTTTTAAGATAGCTTCACAGCGTCTTTTTATCGAGTGAACGAGTGTTTGGAGTTCATCTTTCGTAATCACATGGTGCCAAGAATCAATTTTAGCTTCACTTAGTCGTTTTTTTTGTACAAGAATTTTCAAACGTCGCCACAAATTTTCAATTGGATTGAGATCAGGGCTGTTTCCTAGCCATGCTAATATATCTATGCCTTTATTTTGAAACCATGCTTTGCATACTTTTGCTGTGTGGCATGGAGCTGAATCCTGCTGAAAAATAAATGGTTCGTTGTTGGGGAAGAGATCCCTGATGGAAGGTATCAATTTTGGTTTCAGGACAGTTTCGATGTATTTTTTGGCATTCAGGATGCCAAATCAGGCCGAAAAAAAATGCACAAGTGCTACTACCGATAGAAAAATTAAATGGCTATGCCTTCAAGATAGAAAAATGTCATTAGATGTGAAATGAATGCAGCTGGTATTGCAGTAAGTTCAAGATCAATAAGAAGAAGCTTATCAAGATTTGGACTACAAGCTAGAATTCCAAGGAAAAAACCATATTTAAATCAAAAGCAACTCGAGAAACGAGTTTAGTCGGCAAAAGAACACATTAAATGGTCAGAAAATCAATGGAAGCAAGTAATCTGGAGTGATGAGAGTAAAATATCTCTCTTTGAAGTGATGGTAGAAAATACGTGAGCTGTAGAGTAGGTGAAGCGCTTCATCCTGATTGCATTGAAGTAACTACTAAAATCCAACAAATGTCATGATTTGGGCATGTATATCTGCAGATGGTGTAGGCTGTATTCAAATGATTGATGTCATCCTGAATGCCAAAAAATACATCGAAACTGCCCTGAAACCAAAATTGATACCTTCCATCAGGGATCTCTTCTCCAGCAATGCACCATTTATTTTTCAGCAGGATTCAGCTCCATGCCACACAGCAAAAGTATGCAAAGCATGGTTTCAAAATAAAGGCATAGATATATTACCATGGCCAGGAAACAGCCCTAATCTCAATCCAATTGAAAATTTGCGGCGACGTTTGAAAATTCTTGTGCGAAAAAAACGTTCATCCAATAAAAGACAACTAAGTGAAACTATAATTGATTCTTGGCACCATGTGATTACGAAAGATGAACTCCAAACACTCATTCACTCGATGAAAAGACGCTGTGAAGCTTTTATTAAAAATTAAGGGTTATCCTACTAAGTATTGATTGTGTAAGTATCACTTTAAAAAAATGCAAATCTAAGATAGATCTTACTATTAATTGCATAACTTTTTTTGTAATACAGATATTGTAATACTGTATTTATTATTAAATTCTACATTAAATTACCTTCAATTTGATATATAAACGTTTGTATTTAAGTGAAAATTAATATATTCTACAAGCACACAAAGTTGAAAAACATGAAACTTTCAAAAAGTGTCCACACTTTTGGCCAACACTGTATATCTATATATATATATACATATATAACATAGCTGCCAACTGTTCCTATTAAATCGTATTTGTTCCGAAGTTTTAGCTTTGTTTCGAAAATACGATTTTAGATCAAAATGTTCTGATTTTTCAATATTCTAGCCCCTTTTCACTTTTGCCAATTTTCTTTCATCCCAGGAAAGGTCCAGGAAAGGTCCGGGAATCAAAAATTTATAATCCGACAAAATTTTGAAACTTTAACTTTGTGTCATTATTTTCTCTGATTGTCTTATCATGCTTTGTGTTCCTATTTTGATTTTTAACAAGTTGGCAGCTATGTATATATATAAACTCTGTATAAAAGTCATACAGTATAGTTTCGAAAGTCCAATATTCTCTCTAGTGATAGAAGAATTTTTATCCTATCGTAACAATTTTTCAAAAGTTCATATTTTCTCTTTGTTTCTGTACCCTTCATTCAATTAATATTTAATGCTAAATAAACTTTTATGACTATTTTAGATTGAAGACTCTGACAATAAAATTCATGACTCTGATCGAGAAAGTGTTAAAGGCCTTATAGTTGGACTAATGTTACGCAGTCCAGAACAAATACAAAGGCAGGTCTGTGGCACTTTTATTTTCGGAAAAATCTTTTTCTTAAATCCTTTTCCCCCCAAATTTTTTAAGTGTTAATCGAAGATTATTGCACGGAACACGCACAAAGGCACTTTTGTACTTTTAAATTTTCAAAATAGTTTATTTTTTAAAAGTTTGCCAAACTTATTGTTTTTTAATTATTTTGTTTTGTATCTAAAATTTTTTATTGATTAAATGATCTATCTTGTAAAATTTATCTATTCTTGAAGTGTAACAACAAGGTGTTAAACATCTAATGATTTGTTTTATTCAAGGCTACTCCATTAGGTCTAGTCTTATAAGATTAGTAAATTTTAGATGTTTGCTTCAATTTATTACATTTATTCTTCATGTTGAATTTACAAAACTATTGAACAAGTAGTTATATAAATTTAACATGAAGAATGGCTCTAATTACATTGGACCTCAATGGCTCCAAGCAGTTGACAACACAAATTTTATATTTCACTTGGAAAAATTAACTATTAAAAGTAATCCTCTCGAAGCAATGATTTTTTTTACTGTGTGAAACATATTTAAAAGAAGAAGAAGAAAAACAATTTTTTAATAATTAACCCATATTCTTAAATAAATCTCTAAAACTAAAAAGATGACTTTCAATCTGGACTTTTTTATTTTTTGTAGAATTCTTATTTTCCAATTTTTATGCAACTACAGTTACACAAACTTAACAGTGTATTTTAACAATTACATAATCTTAAGACATAGCTGGATACTGTTAGAGGTGTGGAAAGTAAAGAAGTAAAAAAAATAGGAGAGAATATTGCCAACTCTGAGTAATTAAGATTAAATAAAGAATTTTTTTTTAAAAAAATTGTCATTTAAAAGATAAAATTGTGAATTAGAAATTTCAGAAGGAAGAAAACAGGAAACACATTATGAATAGTGCATAATCTCACTTGTTTTATTACAAATTTCTGTTATAGTTAAATATCTTAACTCCATCAATTTATTTACTAACAATCCTTATTTCTGTTAATTGATTTATATTTCTTCTTTGCATTTGTATATCTCAAAATTATGTGTGGATGTTTGAATGTTTCATAATACTTAATTCCATAGTTGAGTGATGCCGTCAGCATTATAGGCCGTGAGGATTTCCCAGAGAAATGGCCGAATTTAATTCAAGAAATGATTTCCTATTTTAAGAGTGGAGATTTTCACGCCATTAATGGAGTACTTCACACTGCACATTCCCTTTTCAAAAGGTTAGTTTGTCAAAAATGTTTTGAGAAGGTTTTCTTAAAAATTAAGAGCCATGCTCTGAACTGAGTTAGTTTTGTTTGATAAATTTCATTGAAGACACTTGTGAAAGGGTTTTATAAATGTTGTTATTAGTTTATTTTCAACTGTCTGAAGACACTTTTCACAGAAAATAATTTGAAAAGTGCTCTAATCATTATCAAAACTCTTTCATATGTTTTTACTTTAAAATTTTTTAAATCATGTGATTTGTAAATATTGTTCATTTCCCACTCTAGTGGTAAACACTCTAGATAAATACTATGAAAAACCAATGGAATAAGGTAAAGTTTGTTGAATATGTGTAAAAAAAAGTACAAGAAAAACAATTATATTTAAAAGCTGCGAAGATTGTTTTGTTATTAAGTATTCCTTCAGGCAATTATTCCTGACTATTTATTTCATTTAATCCTTAATGTTTATTCAATTGTTAGAATTATATCAACAACTCACCGGAGGCATTGCTCTATAATTTTTCTATTCTTTATTTTTGATGATTATTTAAGTTTAAAAAAAAGAAAAAATTTAAATGAATGAGTACATAATAAATTTTTTGAATTTACATTTATTTTGAATTTACAAACTTAAATTATTATTAATTAATTTGATATTTCAAAATATACTAAACAAATCAAGATAGATTGGTTCTTAAGTGCATGTTAAATAAATAAAAAAAAAAAGCCCCAAGAAAAAAAGCTTCAAGCTAACTGACCTGAAATTAAACTATAAAATGGACCAGTAACATTTTTTTTATATACTATAAAGTAACAGTTCTTGACCTTTAATCTATTATTTCAAAGAGCTCTTAACTGGTATGCTTTTTGTTTCAAATCCATCTATCAATGATGCCATCAGTTAAATTATATTGTTTTTAGAGTCTTTAATAATTACGTGATACATTGATAGAATGTATTCAAACTTTTATTTCTAAAAAATAACTTTCAAGAATTTATTTTTAAAGCTTATTTGATTGAAATAAAAAATAAATTTTTTTTTTTCATGAAAGGGATATTAAATCATCGGAAAAATTGCAATTACGTAATTTTTTTGTGTTGCATAACGTAATCCTGAAAATTTTTTCTTTTTTATCTGCCATAAATTTTTAAATGATCCCTAAAATAGCATAAATTTTATTTACCTTTCAGGTTTCAAATAAAATTGCTTGAATAATGTATTTTCTTTGCAGATATCGCTTTGAGTTTAAATCACAGGCCCTGTGGACTGAAATAAAGTTCGTGTTGGATAACTTTGCCCAGCCATTTACAGATCTTTTTCAAGTTTGTAAAATATTTCCTTCCTTTGAAACCTTGTTTATATCCTTCCAGTAACTTATTGATATAGTTTCTAGCCCTGTGGCAGAATCACTACGACATTGTCGCAGAACGTTACAAAGTTCTTGCAAAAATATTTTTCTTTTGAAAAGTAAAAATAAATTATTTTTTTTTCTATGAAAATTTACACATAATATTTGAGTCATTCGTTTAGATAATAACTTTTTAGTGCCTCAAATAATGTCGATAATATCGTAAATCGATGTAATGTTTCAAATGTATTTTCAGCAGTTAGTGATATCGATTTTCATGTGGATTTGAAATATCCCGATATATTTCAAACAATGTGGAAAATTCGAATCGTGCATTTGAGTATTGACTTTTTAAAGCAATAATTCTATCGAATTTTCGGCAGTTATGGCTATTGATTTCTCCATAGTTTTTGAATCTGATATTTTTTATTGGATATTATTTATTACAATTACCTAATCTCGAAACAAAACATGCATTCGAGAAGTTCGATTCGCGTGATTTTGTTGTCTATCTGTTTTTTTGGCAATTACTACTACAGATTTCATGATTTTTAATTATTTACAAAATACGAAAAAGGAAATAATTAGTGCCTTTCCTCCCCCAATAAAATCCGAGAGCATCACCCATAGTATTAGAATACAACATTATTACACGTTCAATTAAAAATAATTATACAGTTTTTTTTTCCTTTTTTTAAACACAGTGCTTTTGTTATTTTAAATTTGTACTTATATGTTTGTTATTATTAAAAGTATGTTGCAGAAAGATATTAGTGATAGAGAGTTTAGTCACTGATTACTCGAAAGAATTTCTGAAAGGAAAATTAAATTTTCAGATGAATCAGAAATAGAATATAAATTAACTGAAACCTATAAAATGTGTGAATGATAAAATGTTAATGGTCGTCCCAGGTGACTTAGTATTATATCATACTAGTTGTGTGGGATTGCCCTTCAAGATAATGTTAAATGACCTAAAAGTATGCTTTGATTTGGTCTTGAATATCAATTACATAGGCCAGAGATTCTCATTGCGGCAATCTTTTAACGATTTCAAAATTTGACAGCAGGCATACAAAGAAAAAAATAAATTTAAAAGTTGCTTACTTACCTATAATACACTGTTTAAAATAGTTTATGATCATAATTTTGAATGTGAAATTAAATATGTACAACAAAAACAACAGTACATTTATAAAGGGATTAATTAACTCTTTCTACTTGTGTAGTTCTTATTTCGGTTCTCTCCTTCCCATGACTTAATAGTTCTTTTGTTTTTTATTAGTTATTAAGTGTTATTTTTTTTGTAGTTATCAATTGTTAGCTTGTTTTTTCTAGTTATTAATGTTTTTTTTACATTAATTGTTATTTTTTGTGATTTCTTGTTGTAACTTTTTTTTGTTAATTATTAACAGGGTTCCCACAGGCAACTAAAATGCGACTATTTGCAACTATATGTGGCCCGAGGCGACTATAGCAACTTATTTTGCCTAATAAAGGCTAAAAAAGGAACTATTTTCAGGAAAAGGAGACTTATCTGTACTCCTAGCGATGTTTTTTTTAAAACATAAATTGGGTTGACAACCCTCGGCCCACTGGAGCTTCAGAACACAAAGAATTTTTTCTTTCTTAAGAAATAAAAAAATTTGAATTGCAAATTTTAGTCATCCCTACTTAATTTGCTCAATTTGCAAAGATTCCATTATAAGTCTATTTTGTTTCCCCGATCGTCTTTTCGACGGTTATTGTTACTAAAGTCTGCACGACTTTGAAAAACCAAATTTTTAATACAATATTACAATGCATGAATTTCGAATTCGAGTAATCACTTTTCACTATGTATGTATATACAGTCAATTTGCTATAACTCGAATATTTTATGAGGTCCCGACCTTTTTATCCTCAATTTCATGTTAATTATTCTCGATTACCGTAATTTATGGAAGAAAGGCTGCGGCGCTTACGTGTTTACAAGTTTTAAAATTTTAATTGCGGCGTTTATGCCGGTTGCGGCGTTTATGCCGGTTGCGGCGTTTACGATATTTTAAAAATAAATTTTTAATTTTTCAAAAGAAAAATTTTTTTAAAATCAAAATAGTTGCGAATTATGGCAAAAGATGGCGCCACTATTGATAACCAACCACCCTTAAAGAAAGTGGGTTGATCTCGATCTAGTTCCCACCAAACCGCGTGGTTGATAGCTCTTTCAAATTTTTTCTCACTTTGTTACAACGTGCTTTGTGGAGAAATTAAATTGCGGAAAGTTTTCTTTTTAGTATTTGCTAATATTTATACATCGTTGTTATGGACGCGACTTATAAACTGATATCTTCTTATTTAAATAAAAAGAGGTATATTTCCAAAAAATAAATAAATTAAATTAAAAAAAATATTTATAAAATATAAATATGTAGTACAGTATGGAACCCGAAATTCGGCACTTAATCCGACCAAAATTTTTTCTTTCTTTTTTCTTTTAAAGAAATTTTAATGATAAGAGGGGAAAAAAAAGTAATATTTCGTTTTATTTGGATTTTTTTTCTCTTGAAGGAAGTAACTATATTTTATCTTTTAAAAATAAAAACATGAAGAGAAAAAATAATAAATCTGTATCAAACAAAACATAATTGAAAAGTAAAAACATCTGCATTTCCAATGAACAAAATAAAGAAATGCTAGTTGGGAGAAACTGATGAATCAATCTTGACAAGTGCTTTACTGGTTTTGTCCCCCTCCCCCATTTCCCTCTTCTGTTTGACCATAAATTAGCCACACCCTTTTGACATTGAAACTTCCTTCTCACTTGGTGTACAAAATGAATTCTATCCCTTTTGCTGTTTTTTTTTTTTAAAAAAAATTCGATTTATTTATCCTTTTATTGCTTATTAACTGTTACTTTTTTTTTGCTACACTTGTTAACTTGGATTTTTTTATCCTTATTAGTTGTTTGCTTCTTTTTTGTAGCTATTCATTGTTAGGTTCTTGCCATTAATTGTTACTTTTTTTGTAGTTCCTTGTTAGCTTTTTTTTTTCTTCCGAGGTGAGCATCTTTTGTTAAAATAAAATGTTATGTAAAAGAAAAAAGGAGAACAATCTCGCTCTGAAGAAGAAACAATTATTTCTTTTTTGGATTATTTCATCTTGAATTATTTATCCTTCGGATTATTTCTTCTTGATTATATCTTATAGATTATTATTTTAATCAATGAAATTTCTAAAGATGGGACAGTTTTAAATTCACCCCATAAAAATCTACAATTGAAGCTTAGCTAAATTTATTGGTTCTTCTGAAATTAACAGCGTAATTGAATTATCGTAATATACGGGCGCCATATTGGAATTTCCGGAAGAGATCCAAAATTCTACAAATTCCGAAATACGGAATTTCGTCGGTCCCGTGAGTGTCGAATTTTGGGTCCTATACAGTAATGTAAAAAAAATCATTTATATTAAAGTAATATAAATATAGTTATTTAAATTTTTTACCTAACGATGGCACCAACAGCCGATTGTAACATGTTGTTCTGAGCAGTTTGTCCAAAATATACAATAGCAGATTTCATTATTGATTTTATTATAATTATACATTTATAAATTTTAATTTATATTTTAATTTAAAACATTAGTAGTATTTATAAGGAATTAATGTTATATATTCACTTTTGCCGCTAAATCGTTATTATGGGTGCGGCATTTACAACATGTGCGGCGTTTACCATGATTTTTTTCTTTTAAGTCTCATTTTCACAAGTGCGGCGTTTACGATAGGTGCGGCGTTTCTTCCATAAATTACGGTACTCTAATTTTACTCCCTTTAACTCCATTTTTTTTAAAAAGATTACTGGATCTTTTAAAGCGAGAAAAAAAACCCCTAGGAGCTGATATCTTGCCCCTTCCTTTGCGACACACACACAACAGACTGCACACAATAGACTCAACTGTTCAGAACAAGTTTAGTCAGAGTGAGAGTAAGGGATTAGTAGCCCCTGTGGGGAATGATAAATTTGTTTTCTGGACAGAACAGGTTTTCAGTGTGAGATAAAGGGATAACACCTGTGGGGAATGAGTAAACTTTTTTCTGGTCTGAACAAGATTTATGCTTATGATTTGCTGTTAGAGATTGTATGGAAGAAGTGTTTACCTCTAAAGATGTCGAAGCGAAAATTAAAAACTCTCAACTTAAGATTAACTCTCAACATAAAATTAATCTTATTAATGATGTAGATAGAAATCCAAACATGAAGAAGAAAGATATAGCTTTGAAGTGTGGAATTCCCCCGAATACCCTTTCTACGATATTAAAAGAAGGAGAAAATATCCTTAAACAATATGAATCTACGAACATGCTGTTTAAAAGAGTGAAGATGTGTGCCTTTCCCCAGGTGGAATCAGCTTTTCAAAAATGGTTTCAGCAGTACAGAAATCGAGAAAATGCTATTCCCATAAGTGGTGTTTTGCTACGCGATAAAGCTATAGATTTTGCTAAACTGTTAAAAATAGACAATTTTCACGCTAGTGCTGTGTGGCTAGAAAAATTCAAGAGCAGACACAATATTGTCTTTCGCACTCTTCATGGAGAAGCTAAAGCTGTCCCTCTTGAAGTATGTGAACAGTGGTTAAATGAAACGTTACCAAATTTACTTAAGCATACAGGGAAAATGATATTTTCAATATTGATGAAATGGGTTTATTTTTTAAATGTCTTCCAAATAAGACTATGTTTAAGGATAAAAACTGCTCAGGGGATAAAATGAGCAAGGAACGTTTGACTGTCCTAGTTGGAGGAAATGTATATATAAATATACTTGCTGAATCACTTATTGATAAAAGGGAAAATTTTTTAGACAAAGTATGTTTTTTTTAATGAAAAAGTATTTAATTTTCTGCAAATATACAAATTTTTTTGATTTAAAAATTCAGTGCTAGAACACTAATGTTTATATAAAAATTATAATATTTGTCACCAACTTGTTGACTAAATAGATTATGGTATATGACAAGTCATTTAATAAAATTTTAGTCATATTATTGTTCTTAGTTAAGCAACTATTTTCATAGTTTTCAGCAACTATTTTCATACTTTAGGCTACTAAAAGCCACTCATTTTTTTTCCTGTGGCAACCCTGATTATAAATTGTTCGCTTGTTTTTGTTTTTTAGTTATCCTTTCAGGGTATCCGCACACCTGGAAAGTCATGAAAAATCATGGAAAGTCATGAATTTCAGTTTTGAACAAAATTTGTCATAAAATGTCATGATTTTAACTATTTTTTTTAAAAAAATCATGAAAAGTCATGGATTTAGGTCCCTGAAAAATCTAATTTTTAAAATGGAATTTAACCCCTCCCCCAATTTCATGGTGTTCCGAATATCTGAATTGGTAACAAAATCCCCACTCACAGTCATATTTAATTAAAATATAAGATGTTTTTATCATGTTCTTTAAAAATTATGGTGTTCTTTCATAAAAATGGAAGAAAAAACATAACTTCTAGAGGGAATTATCTTTTAAACTTCGGTGATTTCAGAATTTTTGTAATTATTTTTTATTTTATCAATTTAAAATTATAGCTCAGGCAAGCCAGTCATTGGTGAATTTTTTTATTCCCAAAGGAAAACAGAAAAATCGGGAGTATTTCTTTCCTTTCCGATGAACAAGAAAGGTATCTTTAGAATGTAATTTTGCAGAAAAAGAGAAAAAAAAAATTTGCTTTTGTATTTTTTTAGCTATTTTATTGCTTTAAACTCTTTCTGTTCTCTGTTTTTTAAATTTAAAATCTATAAATATGAAGGTGCAAAGTATAACAGTTTTGGTTATACCTATTTCAGTGAATGTTCTTATAATACTTTTTTAAATTTATTGTTGTGTTTTTGTCGGAGAAAATCATAACTTCGTTTAGTCATGAAAAATTCTTAGAATTAGTCATGGAAAGTAGGAAAGTCATGAATTTGAAAATCTGAAATGTTGCAGATACCCTGTCCTTTGTTAATTTTCTCCTGCAAGCTATTTTAAACATTTTATGCCTGTATCCAAATTTCAATATTCAATTGCACTTTTTTTCTTTGTGTACTTTAGAGCTCTTCCTAGGAATAAAAAGGACAGGGCACTTTTGAAATGGCATGCACTTAACACCGTTAAAATTTGTCAAAATGTGTAATAATATGTTATAGTAGAATTTAACCATCAACAATTTTCAAATTACCCTCTAATACTATTTTATATGTGTATTTCAAAAAATAATTCTGACTTACTATCAAAATAAGATAAAAATTTGTATTATAAAAAAATAAAGTTTATAAAAAAAACCTCATTATTGTAATATAAAGTTAATAAAAAAGTTTATATTTATCGTTTAGTTTATTAAAAATAATTAAAGGCATTCTGAATAAGATTATCTAAATATAAATTTAGATAATCTAGATTATATAATAGATTATATAAATTTTAGATTATATACATTTTTTCAAAGGAGTAAACTAAAACAATGATCAATTGATTAACACCTTGAAAGTTTTTTTACATAATTTAAACTGAAAATTATGAGACAAACATTTATAGGGGCATTTTTTCTTTAAAAAAAAAAAGGTATTTATTTAAAAAATAATTTTAAAATTTAAAATCACTTAAATTCATTAATATACCCTAAAAAAGAGAAACTTTTGAAAATTTAACTTGTTGAGAATAATCTTGAGAAAATATTTGGCATAGTAATTAGAATTAAAACTATTAGCACAGACAATTTTACTAGTGTGTAATTATTATTTAAACAGTGAATTAATTTTTTAAAAATGGAATATGAATAAAAAGGCTGAGTTTTTAAAAGATGGTGGCTTATTTTGATAGAACAGGGGAGAGAGGGGGCACATTAAAGCCATTCAATCAAGGGCATGCAACACGCTTAGGGAGAACCCTGGTACTTCGTTATGTGTTTCCTTTCTCAGGTTGCTAAGCACATATTGTACACATTTGATGTTTATGTGTATTTTTTCATTCTAGGGTACAATGCAACTAGTTGAAACATATGCAAATGATGCAAATGCACTCAAGGTTATCTTCAGCTCATTGGTGCTTATTGCTAAAGTATTTTATAGCTTAAATTATCAAGTAAGTTTTTCAACTAGCATCATGTTGCAGTAAGTTACATTTAGACCTGAAAATAACAACTTGCCACGTGGCGAGTGAACAAAAAGTGGCAACTTGAAATAAATAATAACAAGCAGTCACTTTTTCACCATCGTTTTTTTTTTTTTTTTTTTTTTTTTTTTTNGGCGGCACATTTTAAGAATTTAGCGGCACACAAAAGTGCCGCGGCACAGTGGTTGAGAATCACTGATTTAGAAGAATGTTTAATGATAAAAGTATGTCATGGCAAAAGGAGACTCTGGAAGACATAATTTTTATTAAGCTGTCCAATTCTAATTTTTGATCCTCCAGAATCCATCAATTTGTGGGGAAAAGATTACTGTGTAAGGAAGTTTTAATGTATACATTAAATGTTTTTTGCCTCCCTAAATATTTTCCTTGAAGTCAATATGTTTGACTAAATTTTGTCATGTATTATTTTTATTGTTGAATTAACTTATTATAGCCGTGGATTATTTCTAATAATGAGTTGTTTTTCAAAAATAGAATTTAATCCAAGCATAATAGAAGTTTGCAAAAAAGACTGTTTAATGAAAAGGACCATAAATATCAGTCACCGACTTAAGAAATCAGTGGCTATTTAGAGTTTACCGATCACCGACTACTAACTAAAAATTTAAATTTACAGGTCTAATTACAGAACAGTAACTATGTATAAATTTCTTATTAAAATAGTTACAGTACGGTAACTATTTTAATAAGAACATACATTATTTAATTTGGGCTATTTTTCTTTATGTAATCTTAAGTACATTAGGTAGTCCTTATGTTAAGTACATTATATAGTTGGTACATATTATGTTTTTTTTCTCCCTACATTTGCTGCAAATAATTCAATTTTATTTTAAATGGTGTATAATTGCTTTTGTTGAAAAGTGAGTGTGTTAGTGTATATTTAAAATAAATAAAATAATAGAAATTAAATTATGAATGTCTTTTGGGTAGCTATCTCACATTATGTAATCTTATTACTTTAGATGTAGTTATATAATGGGTAGTTATTAGTTTATACTTATAAAAAGTCTGTAGATAATAAACCTACATATTTAAGTAGAGTATTCAATTGCTAATTAACACATAGAACAGGGGTGGCCAAGCTCCTTGATAGTCAAGCCATTTTTCAAAATTTGAAATTTTTTTCGAACCGCAATTAAATACCTATTTAAAAGGTATGCAAAAAAGGTATTAATTTTTTTTTTTACATAAATTATATTTATTGAAAAAATATAAGTAAAAGTATAAAATATGTGTATTGAATTTAAATATTAAAAATTAAACACATTTGTTTTACTTCTCTTGATAATTCTTTAAAATTTGGTGAATAATTTGTGACAGCACTTCTCAGTAATTCTTTAAGATGCTGGTTTGTTAATACTGATCGGTGTTTGGATTTCACGAATTTTAGAGTGAAATAAAATGATCCACATAAGTACATTGTGCCAAATATTGAAATAATTCGACAAGCAGCCTTTTTTTAATTCAGGATACTTCGATTCCGGTACAAATTTCCCAAATTCTGTAATCGTCGTCAACTTATATTTTCATTGTAGAGCTTGAACTTCTTGCATCTCTATTCATTCTAATTCTCCAGATGCTTTTTGTGTCATAATTACATTGAAAATGGAAAACTCACCTTTTCATATTTGTTCTCAGTAATTTAAAAGACATTTTGAAACACATACGGAACGATAATAATTTTTAAAAAATATAATAGCACAAAAATGAAAAGGGAACTCGAGTTAATTTATCGAGAGCCACAAATAATCCTTCAAAGAGCCGCATGTGGCTCGCGAGCCACAGATTGGCCACCCCTGACATAGAATTTCATGATTATTTTCGTGAAAGCACAGTAAAATTCCCTTAAAATAACTATCTACAATAGCAAATGGGATTTTAATAGGGAGTTTGTCCTTTTGAGAAATTGCTGTTTTTAATGCAGATATGATTGTGATCTGGAAATTTAAAAATTGTATAAAAATTCTTGTGTATTTTATTTAAAAATGTTAGACCTAAAATTTATGCTTGGCATCTCTTTTATTTGTAAATATTTTTTTCTGGTAGAATAATAAATGTGATTAGAGATAAAAGTAAATTTATACTTAATTGTTAATTTAAATTATGCTGTATGTAATTTATTTAGAATTTCATGTTGTGAAAATATCAATGATTTTAATTTATGAAGACATTAATTTGTTGAAATGCGTCATTAATGATTTTACTCAAGAAATTTTCAGGATTTTTGAGTTGGGCTCACAATCACTCCTGTTAATGTTAAAATTACTGTAAAAAAAAGTGCAATATCAGTTTTTAATGTCATTGTTAGCACAGAATGTTGAATTCAATTTTAGTCGTCTAAAAGAGGAAAATGGTAGATAGGGGGTCAACAAACATGGCGTCCTTTTGAATTCTGCGACCTGTTTAATAAGAATAGCAGAGGAATTTTACTTTTGTAAGAAGGATGATAACTGAGCCCGAGGTTGCCCATGCACCTGCTTTATAAACAGAGAGAAGATAAGGTGGCAGCAGCTGTTGTTGTAAACCAAAGAATCATAAAATCTAGAACCTGTTTCAGATGCCTTCAAAAATTTTGGAGAGCTTCAAATATAAAAACCAGCACAAAAAAAAATGCTTTTAAAGTTGTCTGTTTCCTATTTTTGTATCGTGCTTATTGTTGGAACTTACGCAAAACTGAAATGAACGAATGCTTGGAATTATTGAAAATAATACCCATTGTTTAAATCCAGATAGCCTGCTGCTATTAAAATATTTACAGGGTATCTGATCACCTGGAAAGTCATGAACAAAATTTTATTGAAATGCCATGATTTTAAGGGGTATTGAATAAAATTTGTCATGAAATGCCATGATTTTAACTATTTTCTTAAAAAAATCATGGAAAGTCATGCATTTACGTTGCCGAAAAAGCGAATTTTTAAAATAGAATTTACCCTCCCCCCATTTCATGATGTTCCAAATATCTGAATTTCTAACAATATCCCCACTCAGTCATATTTTATTAAAGTATAAAATGTTTTTATCGTGTTCTTTAAAAATTATGGCATTCTTTCGAAAAATGAAAGAAAAAACATCATTTCCATAGCGAATTATCTTTTGAACTTTTCGGATTTCAAAGTTTTTGTTACCTTTTTTGTTATTTTATCAATTTCAAATTCTAGCTGAAGCAAGCCAGTCATCGGCTAATTTTTTTTATTTGGAAATGAGAATAGAAAAATCAGGAGCATTTCTTTCCTTTCTGATGAGCAAAAAAAGTATCTTTAGAGCATAATTCTGCAGAAAAAAAGTATTTGCTTTTGTTTATTTTTTCAAGCTATTTTATTGCTTCAACTCTTTCTTTACTCTGTTTTTTAAATTGAAAATCTATAAAGATGAAGATACAGAGTATAACAATTTTGGTTGTACCTATCATTTCGATTAATATTATTATAATGCTTCGTTAAATTTATTGCTCTGTTTTCGTCGGGAGTAGTAACTTCGTTAGGTCATGAAAAATTCTTGGAATTAGTCATGGAAAGTCATGAATTTGAAAATTTAAAATGTAGCAGATACCCTGTAGGTAAAATGTAAGAAGGAAATGAAGTGAAATAATGTTTAGTTTCACTTTTCTTTATTGATAGGAGAAATAAAAGTTTCTCTAAATTGGCCTTTTTCTGTATAATATTGCTAACTTAAATGGCCGAAAAATATTTTTCCTCTAAGCATTATAGCAAAAGGTTAGTAATTAAGTTGTTATGTAAGTACATTTCTCATATATTTTATAATAGCATTTTGACAGTGGATTGGAAAATTGTATCTCAAAATGANACTTCTTGCATCTCTATTCATTCTAATTCTCCAGATGCTTTTTGTGTCATAATTATATTGAAAATGGAAAACTCATCTTGAATTGAACAACATTGCGCTTAGTCTTTCATATTTGTTCTCAGTAATTTAAAAGACATTTTGAAACAGATACGGAACGAGAATAATTTTTTAAAAGTATAATAGCACAAAAATGAAAAGGGAACTCGGGTTCATTTATCGAGAGCCACAAATAATCCTTCAAAGAGCCGCAGATTGGCCACCCCTGACATAGAATTTCATGTTTATTTTCATGAAAGCACAGTAAAATTCCCTTAAAATAACTATCTACAATAGCAAATGGGATTTTAATTGGGAGTTTGTCCTTTTGAGCAATTGCTGTTTTTAATGCAGATATGATTGTGATCCGGAAATTTCCGGAAATCCAAGATGCAGAAGTTTCAAGAAATCATTGATTACATTCATGTATAAAAATTCTTCTATATTTTATTTAAAAATGTTAGAACTAAAATTTATACTTGGCATCTCTTTCATTTGTAAAAACTTTTTTCTGGTAGAATAATAGATGTGGTTGGAGATTAAAGTAAACTTATACGTAATTATTAATTTAAATTATGCTGTATATAATTTATTTAGAATTTCATGTTGTGAAAATATCAATGATTTAAATTTATGAAGACATTAATTTTTTGAAATGCGTCATTAATGATTTTACTCAAGAAATTTTCAGGATTTTTGAGTTGGACTCACAATCACTCCTGTTAATGTTAAAATTACTGTAAAAAAAAAGTGCAATATCAGTTTTTAATGTCATTGTTTGCACAGAATGTTGAATTCAATTTTAGTCGTCTAAAAGAGGAAAATGTTAGACAACATGGCGTCCTTTTGAATTCTGCTACCTGTTTAATAAGAATAGCAGAGGAATTTTACTTTTGTAAGAAGGATGATAACTTAGCCCTAGGTTGCCCATGCACCTGCTTTATAAACAGAGAGAAGATAAGGTGGCGGCAGCTGTTGTTGTAAACCAAAGAATCATAAAATCTAGAACCTGTTTCAGATGCCTTCAAAAATATTGGAGAGCTTCAAATATAAAAACCAGCACAAAAATAAATGTTTTTAAAGTTGTCTGTTTCCTATTTTTGTATCGTGCTTATTGTTGGAACTTACGCAAAACTGAAATGAACGAATGCTTGGAATTATTGAAAATAATACCCATTGTTTAAATCCAGATAGCCTGCTGCTATTAAAATATTTACAGGGTATCTGATCACCTGGAAAGTCATGAACAAAATTTTATTGAAATGCCATGATTTTAAGGGGTATTGAATAAAATTTGTCATGAAATGCCATGATTTTAACTATTTTCTTAAAAAAATCATGGAAAGTTATGCATTTACGTCGTCGAAATATCGAATTTTTAAAATAGATTTTACCCCCTCCCCCATTTGATGTTCCAAATATCTGAATTTCTAACAAAATCCCCACTCAGTCATATTTTATTAAAGTATAAAATGTTTTTATAGTGTTCTTTAAGAATTATGGCATTCTTTCGAAAAATGAAAGAAAAAACATCATTTCCACAGCGAATTATCTTTTGAACTTTTCGGATTTCAAAATTTTTGTTACCTTTTTTGTTATTTAATCAATTTCAAATTCTAGCTGAAGCAAGCCAGTCATCGGCTAATTTTTTTTTATTCGGAAATGAGAATAGAAAAATCAGGAGTATTTCTTTCCTTTCTGATGAACAAAAAAAGTATCTTTAGAGCATAATTCTGCAGAAAAAAAGTATTTGCTTTTGTTTATTTTTTCAAGCTATTTTATTGCTTCAACTCTTTCTTTACTCTGTTTTTTAAATTGAAAATCTATAAAGATGAAGATACAGAGTATAACAATTTTGGTTGTACCTATCATTTCGATTAATATTATTATAATGCTTCGTTAAATTTATTGCTCTGTTTTCGTCGGGAGTAGTAACTTCGTTAGGTCATGAAAAATTCTTGGAATTAGTCATGGAAAGTCATGAATTTGAAAATTTAAAATGTAGCAGATACCCTGTAGGTAAAATGTAAGAAGGAAATGAAGTGAAATAATGTTTAGTTTCACTTTTCTTTATTGATAGGAGAAATAAAAGTTTCTCTCAATTGGCCTTTTTCTGTATAATATTGCTAACTCAAATGGCAGAAAAATATTTTTCCTCTAAGCATTATAGCAAAAGGTTAGTAATTAAGTTGTTATGTAAGTACATTTCTCATATATTTTATAATAGCATTTTGACAGTGGATTGGAAAATTGTATCTCAAAATGAATGCATTGTACTTGTTATAATAACCTTTTGCTGCATAAGTTTTGTCCAGTTTAACAAAAAATAAAACAAAAAACGCAGTTCTGTGAAAGTTTCTTTTTTTAAGATCTATTAATTTTAACAACTTAAGTAGCAAAAATGTTTTTGACTTCATAACAGTTCTCGAGTAGTCTTTCGCCTTCAATAAAAATTAACTTATTCGTAGCAAAAAGAAATTACTTAATTTTTTTTCTCTTTTTCAAAAAGTCGGAAAGACAAAAAGGTGACAATAGTTCCGAGCATTTTAAAAACAATGAATCCTGAGTTTTTTCTCTGAAAGTAATTTCAGAAATATTTGTTAATCTTTCGTTCTTGTAACTTCTGCAGTAAATTTCTTTCACTCTTTCAGGATATCCCAGAGTTCTTTGAAGATAACATGAAGATTTGGATGGAAAATTTTCATAAGCTTTTGACAGTGGATAATGCATTGTTGAAAACAGGGGTAATTCATATTTCCTTCATTAATCTTTTTAATTTTCATGTGACTGTTAGCATTTGTATTACCACTGTTATTTTCAAAATGCTTGGGTACTTCCCTGGTCTGGAGTGTTAAAAAACTTTAAATAAATGTTTTTCACATACACAGCAATCTCTCTTTATGACGCTATGTTCAGTTCAGATTTCTAGTTTGTAATGCAAATTTTGGGCTCCTGCCATTTTCTATTAAGGATTAATGTAGAGACTGATTCTTCTTAACTAGGGTTGTCACGCCTCAGGGAGAACAAGGAAAATCTGGAAAATACAAGTAATTTAAAAGTCACCTAAAATAACAGGGCATTTTGATTTTTTTCTTTAGAAACTGGGAATTGAGTTTCTTATTTTCGTCTTTTAAAAAATGGCGATCCCTCAATGCATAATCTATGGCAGTGTTCCCCAACCCCCGGTCTGCGGACCGGTTCCGGTCCGTACATTAAATGTTACTGGGCCGCCCATTTCATTGAAACTGAATTTAAATTCCTAGGTTTACATCCAAAATTAAAAATATCTGTGTTCCATTAAAATTTTATTTATTTAAAAGAAAAGGGGGCCCACGAAGGTAGTGACATAAATTTTTTAATGTTTGTAATGTATCATTGTCTCCGATTAACCCCTGATGGAACCGTCTCATTGCATTACAGGGTTCTCATTGATTCAACGTTCTAGTAAGTTAAAATGTTAAATCACTTTATTTAGTTTTTGGTGTAACTGTATTTTTTTTTGAAGGCATGTTTTTTTAAATATAATTAAATTAAAATTAATAAATCAAAATAATCTAAAATAAAGACAATCAACGCCCCCACCCCTAGCCCCCTGAAATTATCAAATGTTGACAGGTTCGCGGTGATAAAAAGGTTGGGGAACACTGATCTATGGGACATTTAAGTAAGATATTTCAGTTATACTAAACCATTTAATTTGCTATAGCATTATTTAAGTATGTTCAGCTGTTCTTTGTTTCTTTAAGTTTTCCAGCAGTTAAAACTAGTATAGTTAGCCCAATATAGCTTACACAAGTGTGCAGTAATTGTGTTTCCTCTTAATATATTGTCTATGATATGTACAGGGAAAACACAGATAATTTTTTCTCCATATTTGAGTGGCAACCCTGTAAATGCCTCGTTTACTTAGTATATTTCTGACGTTTCTTTATTGCTCAACAGATTTTTTTATTCACTACTGCTATATATCTAAAGGTATCTAGTTTTTTTCTTTATCACAGTAGATGGTCTTCGAAACTGTAGAAATTAATGCATTTAAAATTATGTAATTTTTTTTATTTATCCTATGCTCATCTTCGGTATTTCTTCGATAAGTTGATGAACAGCCAAATGAAAAGCAGAAATTAGCCTTGGTAAACTTTAATGCGAAAGAGGAGTTCTTAAAGTAGTCGTTTCTTATACTTGGATCTCACAGTAGAACACCAAAGTCAAGCATCACTGGCTGCGGTCAGTAGGCGGATGGGTGGCCGCTTTGATCAGTCTGTGTAGGGACAGAGCGTGGGCGGTATCGGTCCTCGTTAAACCGTTCTGCTCTCAAAGTGCTTGGCTTCGTGCACAGGTCCTCAGGCTAACAAAGCAGGGAAGCCATCCCCTCTGCAAAGAATCAAAATTTTGATGGCATGTCTTCGGATAAACCTCAGGGGTGTTTCCCAGACAGTCACCAATAACCCATTGTGCAGCTGTAGTGCGACGTAAATAAAGTACCTACCCATTCTTTTACTTTGTTGACTAAGAGGGTGGGGCTGTTCACTGATGTTTGGCAGAAATGCCAGAAAAGAAAGAATTATCCTCACTCCTGATATTTATTTTTACTTCCTTACATTGAAGAATTACTTTTTAAGTAGACATAGACAGTAGAATTGCACATTTAGCAGATGAATTCAATGCAGAATAAAATGTAAAGAATAAAAAAAGAAACATTGCTTTGTGATTTTTTTCCATCCCTTTCAGCTGGAAAAAAAATAGCTTTGTATCACGTGATTAGACTCAGCATGTAAAAAGGCCACTTTATGTGCTAGCTGATTTTAAACCTAAGTAAAGGTGTTTAAAAATTATAATACATCATGAATATTCCTTTATAAAAAATAAAAAAAATTAGCATAATCGTAACTTGAAAACTGAATTTTTGCAAACATTTATTTTATTTTAAACTTCATCTCGACACAAATCCACTTTATAGTCATATACAGTGTAAAATAATCTTTCATCTCATCAATTCTTTCTTTTGTCCATATTTTCAGGAAAAACTCCTTTCACTAAATCAATTAATTCTCGTTTAAAACTGTTCAAAAAATTTTTAGACCTTGAAACACATCAATGTACACACGTGAAACATATTCTCATAGCTCTAAATGCGATCTTTTCTTTTTTGATTGTTATATTTAATTAATTATTTTGGTAATTTTAAAATTAAATGATATAAAATAATTCATATAAATTAATTTATACGAGAAATAATCTTTGGATAAATAAGTAAAAGAATTATTTGTTCCAAAAGCTTGTCAAATTATAATAATATTAAGAGGATTAAAATTTTGCTAAGTCCTGCAGTGGACTGATCATAAAGATACGGCTCCCAGTAAAACACTGAAGTCAAGCATTGCTGACTGCGGTCAGTAGGCGGGTGGGTGACATCTTTGATCAGCCTGCATAGGGACCGAGAACTTTAAGGTAAAACAGTTTAACGAGGGTGCCCGGTATTGGTCCTCATTAAACTATTCTACTGTAAAGTTCTTGATTTCGCATGCAGGCTGTCGGGGTATCAAAGTAATGTTGATTCATCCTCAGAGATGTTTCCCAGACTGTCACCAATAGCCAATTCTGCAGCTCTAATGCAACGTAAATTAAGTACGTACGATGACTCACATGATTGATAGTGGATGTTCTTCATAATTTGAAGGTCAGAATTGCAAATCCATGGTATAAAAAGCCATGTTTATCCAGANAAAGATTGGGGAAGGGATAAACGGGGTATTAGTTGGGATATAGTATCTTAATTATGATAGTTGGTGTATAGCAAAGATTAATTAAAAAAGTCACTAAGAAAATATTAGGGTAAGTTTAATAATTGGTAGTATTAATAGAAATAATAATAGTAGCGAGATTGAGTGGTGGTGTTGTGAGCAAATTGATCCGGTAGATGGCACCACTGCGGCACCAAATTGAACGAGCTGGGAGTAATTGTTGATAGTAGTTTACAACGGATTTAAAAGTAATTTAATAAAATAAGGGTGAATAAAAGTATAATAGACGGTTAATTAAGTAAGTTGAAAGGGGATTTGATGAATCAGGAGGTAATAGTTGTAATTAGTAGGAATAAAAATAAACGCATTAATTGAGATAAGGGGGGGGAGGGATAGTACTTGGAACAGCGGTACACCGAAATGAAGCATCATCCACTGAAGTCAGTGTTTGGGAGGGTGACCGGGGAAAGATATGAGAAGATCTTAATAATAAAGACATAGGGATAAATAGAGGAAAACTATGAGAACATGTTACAAAATACTGAGTATTTAATTAATTAATAATTTTGAGGTAATTATTATGACAATGTTGTAACAAATTAATAATATCTATAAAACATAAACTTTAGAGGTATCGAGATGTATGATAAAGGCAGTATTGTGAATTAGCAACGTACATTAATGGAATTGCTTTAACATAGATTGAGGAAAGAAAAAATCTGTAGAGGTATAAAAATTAAAGAATAACATAGACTAACAAAATAATGATAATAATACTAGTATTGACAAGGTAGGAAAAAAGATATCTCCGCTGGGGATCGAACCAAACACCAAAGTCAAGCATCGCTGACTGTGGTCAGTAGGCGGATGGGTGACATCTTTGATCAGCCTGCATAGGGACCGAGAACTTTAAGGTAAAACAGTTTATGAGGGTGCGCGGTATCGGTCCTCATTAAGCTGTTCTACTGTAAAGTTCTTGATTTCGCGTGCAGGTTCTCGGGGTACCAAAGTAATGTTGAATCATCCTCAGAGATGTTTCCCAGACTGTCACCAATAGCCCATTCTGCAGCTCTAATGTAACATAAATTAAGTACGTACGATGACTCACATGATTGATAGTGGATATTCTTCATAATTTGAAGGTCAGAATTGCAAATCCATGGTATAAAAAGCCATGTTTATCCAGAGAAAATACATTCTTTAAACCGTTAGGATTGCTTTTTATATGAAATTCTGTCAGAGAGTAATGCATTGTACATGTAATATTGAAGATCAAAGTACATGTTATATAAAATGTTTCATTAAACTGAGAGAAATCATTTTTAGGATGATGAAGAAGCTGGTCTTCTCGAACAATTGAAATCCCAAATTTCTGAGAATGTCTCATTATATGCTCAGAAGTATGATGAAGAGTTTTCAGAATATTTACCTAATTTTGTTCATGCCATTTGGTCCCTGCTTACTTCAACCGGCCAACAAGTTAAATACGATTTGGTAAGTGGAGAGCTGTCTCTAATTCAAATGATGTATTTTAAAATATTGCTGAAATGTACAATTTCAGCTTTGTGTGTGTGTGTGTATGTTGTGAAAGATATTTAAGCAAAATGTTCCAACTTACTAAATCAAAGCTTATTTTTTTTACTAAGCAATTAAAATTTCTCATATAATTTGATCTTTTTTCAATGCTTGATGTTTAATATAATAAGCTCTTTTTGACCCGTCGGTTTCATGAGATTTTGTCGTAAACACACGTGGTTCAATATCAATATATGTAATTAAGGCCTGGATTTTGATGACATTTGCATTTTTGGGCATTTTTTGTCCTTTAGAGCATTTTTTTAGATTTATAAAGCATTTTTTTTTTTTTTAAATTTTGGGGTGTATTTTGCATTTTAAAGCATTTTTTAAAGTTTTTTGTTAATATTTTCCAATTTTTATTATTTTTGGGGGGCATTTTTATTACATGAAGAACAAGATTTGTCTTGATTCAGAAGATGCTGCATCAATTAAGATAGCGCCAAACAAATAGGCCTCTGATAAAATCGAAGGAAACTTATCATTTATCAAGTCTAACTTTGCTATTGTGTCCTCGACAATTACAAGCTCGGAGAAACAAGAATTGGAACTTTGCGATGCAATAAATTCTATTGACGTAGTGAATCAACTGTTGCTAAAAGCAAGTGGAAAGATAGCACAAAGTGTAGCAGCTAAATTGAACAAAGTTTTGGAGAAGAACACCTTCCAAACAATGAAGAAAATCTCTAGGATATTAGCAGGTGAAGCAACATCTTTTCAAATTGAAGAAGAATTGTTAGTAAGTGAGACCGTCTTTTTCAAGTACGCACCAATAACTTCAGTAGATGTTGAAAGAAGCTTCTCCAGGTATAAAAATTTACTTTCAGATAAGAGACGCTCGTTTACATTTCAAAATATCAAACATCATTTAATAATCCAATGTAATTCTAATATTTAGTAATATTATGAGATGGAAATTGTTATATTCATTAAAGTTTCTATACAAAAGGAAAATGTTTTGGAGTCAACACATTTTCCTTTTTATTTGTTATTTTAGGATATAAAACATATTTTTCAAACTTTAATGAACATTGAACAAATATTGCATTACTTTATATATTTTGAAATGACTCATAATAATTTGATTTTTTAAAATTGTTTTAGTTCAATATTTTTACTTTATTTAAGTCATGCCATAAGGCATTTTTAGCGCAATTTTCACATTTTTAAAGCATTTTTTAAGGGTATTTTCTGCACCTTTTAAGGGCATTAGTTGATTTTTTAGGTCATCAAAATCCGGGTTATAATATATCATCAATAGTTTTTTAAATATTGCTGTTGTCTTGTGTATTTTTTTTAATGTATATATATTTTATGTAGCGATGAGAAAAAAATGTATTAGGTAAAAAAATTTATTTTCTCTCTTTACATTTTATAAATGTTACTTTTATGCACAAAAATAAGTCTTTTATTTTTCTTTTAGGTAAAGAAAAAAAAAGTAAATAAGTACTATAAGAAAACTACTCATTGAAAAAAATGTTTTAGATAATTTCTTCCAGTAATCACATGTTTGATATAGTGTATCAAATAAACCATATCTTTATTTGATACATTAAATCAAACAAATACAATATATAGTTAACCTGTATATTATGAAATTAATTAACATACTTTTATTCAACTTTGTGAGTTCAGTATTAATGCAGTTAATTTTATAGTTCTTTGCTATTAATTTTATAATTTAAACTTCACTATTTCCCTATTATATATTTGGCAATAATTTAATCATTAATTGTTTGTAATACTAAATTTTAAAATTTCATTGGCTAGAATTTTTTTTGTTGCTAACTCTTCCCTGTATATAGACATTCCTTTTAATAAAAAATAATTCTTATGATTAAATTTCAACCTTATTATAAAAAATATTGACCATTAGAATGCATATATAATAAATTCATAGGATACATTAACTGCAGAAACCAGTCAAAGTATCATAGTTTAGAACATTCCATAAAAGCATAACAGAATCTTGCCAAGACAACATACTGTTTTATGCAAAGTCACTCAAACAAAATGTCTAAAGACACAACCTCTAATCGATAAAGTGCTGTGAGAAAAACTATTATAGACAAAATATTAGTAAAATTTTAAAATGACATTTTGTATATTTAAGATTTCTTCAAAAGACCCATTACAGAAAAACAGGAGTTTGTAATATTTTACTAAATGAAGAAAAATATTCCATTGTAGTAATACTTGTTTAAAGGCAAAACCTTTGCAAAAAAGGTACTTGGAAATGGAAATTTCATTTCAAATCTGCTAAAGTTTATAAATTTTTTAGCATTTAGATTTAAAGTGATTGTAAATTGAAAAGAAAAGTCTTTTAAATTTGAATAGTCACCGAGAGCATAAATGCGTGCAAATTTTTAGAGTTCTGTAGTGCTTGAAAGATCAGTAAACTAACTTTATCTTTAACAAATATCAAAAAGCGATGTTCAATTAAAAAGTGCATGAACAGTTTTTCACACAATGAAGAAATTAAGCAAAGGTAAAATTAAAAAAACTGAAAATGCTTTGAAGTATTTTGAAAAGATTTCTTGTTGGTTATTGTTTTTTTATTGATTACAATCAAGTGTTATTATTTTCAACACTGAAAAATATTATTATTTTTGTAGCTGGTGAGCAATGCTATTCACTTCCTATCATCTGTAGCAGATCGTGCAAATTATAAACATTTGTTTGAAGCACCGGATGTTCTCAGTTCCATTTGTGAGAAGGTCATCATACCAAATATGGAATTTCGAGGTAAGTTCACCCATGCATTTTTTTTTTTTTTTAAAACTCATGTAGGTCAAAGCCCCAAGTTAGCAAAATTATTTTGTAAAATAAAAATGTATTTGAGAAATTATAAGAAAAAAAACTGTCAAATTCAAAAATTTTAAAGTTCAGACCGAAAATTGTATTTGGATCTCGATGCAAGTTGTCAAACAACTTTCTAAATTTAAAATTATAGCAGATTTTTAAAAAAAGTGCTTCTAGAATTGCATTTATTAAAATATTTACTAAATGGAAAATAAGTATAAAGAAGGCAAATTTTTCAGGGCATTACAAAAAATTGTTTTCTAGTTAGAATTAAAAATAAGAAAGATCTTATTTCCAAAACAAAATGTGCTGAAAACTGGACATAACTCACAGGACAATCAAAGTCCCTGCATAAGTATTTACGCCCACTTCCCTACAAAATAATTTATGTATTGCCAATAATTTTTGTTCCATCATGTTGGCATTCGTACTTAATTTCATATTAATTGAAGCTTCTTTTGTTCTTTAGATTAAATTTTAATCATTTAAAAACAAATTTGTAATTTTAAATAATGGGAGTTGATTGTTTATTTTTGACAATGCTCTTTGAGCATTTGCAGATATCAAAAGTCTTACTAATTCTGCTAATGGGAGCCACATAATCAATTGATATGTGCTTATCCTTGAAAACATTTTAAATAATTGAAACATTTATTAATTTCCAAAAAATTATTCCTAGTTTTGATTCCTTTTTAGAAATGTCTTAAAAAAGAGGTTGTGAGAGGAAATTAATTTTCCATTGTTAATTATCAAATAATTGTTTCATCTCTATTATCATATATTTCCCTTTTTATTTTAATGAAAGAAGATATTGTTTTTACATGAGCTGACCTTTATGCGAAAAAAATGGGCGATTGTGAATGTGTACTAAAGTTCTTTCCTTTTTTTTTCTAAAATTGTTCTTTTCTTTCAATAGGTTGAAAATTTATTTTGAAAGCATTTATTTCGTAATAAGAATTCTATGGCTGCTGTTTCTTAAATTATTTCCTTCCCAATTAAGTATCTGTAATTTAAAATCCAATTCAATCTCCGAGAGCAGATATGGAAATTATGAAGATAGTGCTATTGCTTTTTTTTTTAAAAAAAGATTCATATGTTGTACATTTTGCATTAAATACAAAAGCTCATGTTTTTTAGCTGTTAAAAATTTTCCAAGTTCATGAAATTTTAAAAATGAAATAAAGAACTTGTTCTTTAACTCAAAATCTTTAGAAGAACTATCTTTTACCTTTTGCTTACGACACTTATCGTGACAAATTTGTTCCGGTCCACTGATTGTAAGCAAAGAGTTCATTTATTAGTAGTGCAAAATTAATGATAAATTGAATGAATGTATTTAGTCAAGCTTCCACTGATTGTAAGCAAAGAGTTCATTTATTAGTAGTGCAAAATTAATGATAAATTGAATGAATGTATTTAGTCAAGCTTTTTATACATACCTGTAAGCTCTGCACGAAAAGTTTGGGTATATGAGATACAATTTATGAATGTAATCACAATTAGTAGAGCAGGGCATGTTTTTTTTTAATCATCACACTTGATTACTTCCAGTTTTTAACTTGTTCTTTACTAGTAGAAAGAAAAACTAAGCACTCGTAATATTTATATTTATAACCGCGTTCAATATCCGACCCAATTTTGGTTTTACGGTTACTAATGTTCAACTCAGTAGCCTTGTGATTTTAAACCCAATCCAGAAGACAAAGGAACTCCGGATCAAGCATTAGGAGAAATTTGCCTTCATGGAGAACTTTTCTGATGGTACTAATCCGAATTTGCTTTACATGGAGGAAAACCTTCGAAGCCCTCCCACGATTTACCTGACGGCAAGGGGACTCTAACCCATCATCCGTCTATCACTGAGGATATTTTACGTCAGCGCTGTGGTCGGTGCAAGCCGGATGCAGAATTCCTTACAACCAGCTATCACTGGGATTCGAACCTGGTTCACCACAATGGAAGGCAAACGCTTTTTCCCCAGAGCCATCACGACTCAAGAACTTATAATCGAACAAAAGCAGAGTATTCTTACTTACCTCATGTAGCTTAATTCGCTCTCTACCAAAAGTAAAAGACAATGTTTACTAGAAAGCACTACCAGCATGAAAATTATCAGGGTACAGGGTATCAGGGACCAATTCTCCTATATACAGTTTTAACCAGGGTTTGTTGATTTAAATCAGCTTGATTTAAATCACAATTTAAATCAACTGATTTTTTTAAATATTTATATTGATTTTAAAAGTTAAAAAACAGTGTTTTAAAGTATTGATACTTTTACTACTTGATACTGTAATACTAAAAGAACTTTTTTTTAAAAAAAATTAATAAATTGCATTGCTGTTAGCATTTTAAAATGACTTTGCACTAGCATTGACTGTTTTGTATAGTTAAAAAATTTAATTGAACTTCAAAATGTCATTTTCCTGGCATGTCCCAAACAATGTTTCCAATAATAACTAGCTTCAAAACTTCCCATACATTTTTCAAAATCTAATTTTTTTTATCTTATCCTGTGTAAGCATTTCTAGAATATATGCAGAGGGTATTATTTACAAAAATTTCGTTTAAAATAATTTTTTCGGTCAATAATTTGTTTGTCCCAAGAAAATATGCCATTTTCCCGGCTACTTTTATTTAGTGGTTTATAACCAAAATAGATAGAGCCAGCAATCAATATCTTATGTTAATAGATTGCAGGCCTCGCAGCGCTCCTATATTTCCTATATTTCCTATTAATCTAGAAAAATTGCTATATTTCCTATTTTTTCCTATATTTTCTGTATTATTTTCCTTAATTTTCCCTTATAATCCTTTCTCAACGTCCGCGCTCCCGATTTGCGCTAGTCTGATGTCAATCATCAAACCACACCTAAAAATTCTTTAACCAATCATCCGTTTGCAATGTCTTAACCCAGCTGCACCAAGTACAAGTAAAAGGGAATCGTCAGCAAGTGAAAGAAATATATGTGAGGTTTGTGGAATAAGATATAGAATAGAAAGGGTGTGAAAAGAAGGAACCCAGAACGGAGCAATATATTTTAGTGTAGTCATGCGGATTCAATAAAGTGATTTTCGTTTTCCTTTTAAAAGTTTTTTTTATTATTTTAATGTAATTAAGTGATTTTTTCTCTTTCTCGAGNGAAGTGTTACCAAAATTTTTTTTTTAACTGCTAATACTGTAAGGAGGAAAAGCAAATATTAACTTAATACCAAGTTTAAGTATGATTGTAATTTGGTTGGATGTAATCAAAGTTATTTATTTATTTAATGATTGATTATTATACACAATTTTATTCTTTACATATCAGCAACAAAAAAAAATTGATTCTTTCTACACCAGATAAAAAGAATTAATTTATGCAATTTATGATCCATCTAACATAAAGGCTTAAGTTGAGTAAATTACTATTAACTTAAAATGACTGTTTTTTAAACTTCTAAGCTAATATGTCCTTTTCCTGGCTTTCAAGATTTGGTGAATTTCTATTTTATTTTTTTTCTCGAGCAAATGTCAATAAACTACACAGCTGTCTGTAAGATATTAATAAATGTAACTAAAGAAGTATACAAAAAAAATTTTAGATTATTTTGAAGACTAAATTTGAAGAAATTTTTTGGTCCGAATTGTCATGTTTAAAAAGAATCACCCATATACTTTGTTAAACAATTTTAAAAACTCGAATGAAATAAAAAAAAATACAATGTTTAATATATTCCAGGGTTTGTTGATTTAAATCAGCTTGATTTAAGTCACGATTTAAATCATGATTTAAGTCATGATTTAAATCATGATTTAAATCAAATGATTTTTTTAAAAAAATCACTTTAATCAACTAATTTTTTAATCAACTAATTTTATCAACTAATAAATTCAAATCAACTAATTAAATTAATTAGTTGATTTAAATCAACTAATTTTTTTAAAATACAGTAGGGAACCGATTATCCGGAACTATCGGGACCATCGCTATTCCGGTAAACTGATTTTTCCGGTTTTCTGAATCGCTACAAAAAGCCGTTTTTTTATTGTTAAACCCAACTAAAAAAAATTTTTTTTTTGGAAATAATCTTAAAAAAAAGAAAAAACGATGAAGTAATACACTAATGATTATTTCCAAAATGATGGTAAAGTGAATATCTTTCAAAAAAGAATGAAAAATCCTAAAATCTTATGAGGAAAAAAAAAATTTTTTTTTTTTTAAAATGGCGGGAAAATGAACCGGAATTTCGTTCCGGTTTTTTGGTTTTCCGGTTTTCTGATTTCCGGATAACGGGTTCTGTACTGTATATATATTGATTTTAAAAGTTAAAAAACAGTGTTTTAAATTATTGATGCTTCTATTATTTTGTTTTCTTAGTTTAAAAATTTATTTTAAATAAATTGCTGCATTAATTCATTTTAGTTAACGAAATTACTTTCGTTCTTGGTGTTTGTTAAATTCCAACACATTTGAAATTACATTTATAAAAATGTTTTGATTCTTTAGATTGAAAGTACAGATTAAAGTAAACATTTAATGCTGTCTTAATATAGACTTGCATAGCTGTAGAAAGTAATTAATAAACATGATTTTTTTCTAAAAATAATGCAAATAATGTTAATTAAAATTCTACTTTTTGATTGAAAAAGCATGGAATAAAATCTACATTATATTTTATTGGTGAAAAATGTATATTTCTGAAGCTTGAGGTTATATAAAAAAGAAATTACCCTGATATGCCAAAAATAGAAGAAAAAAGGCTGATGAATTCAGATATTTTTTTCCTGATATAGTGTCATTTTTCTCTTTCAAAGTCTACTTGAAGCAGTAGGGTTATTAACTGGTATTTTTTTCTCATATGTCATTGACATTATCAGATTTTCTATAAAGAAATTTTGTGGAAAGAAATTCCAATGAGTGCATTGATTTTTTTAAAAAATTTTTTTAGCTTAACTTATCTATTTTGATCTAGGATTAAAAATTGAATATTTTAATTTGAAAATATATAGATTAAATATTTATTTATTTCTTGATGAATGACTACATTTATAAACACAATCTGTTACATTTATTTTGTCATTTTAAAAATCAAGCGAAAAAAAAAATCTTTATTAAAATTAAAATTATGGTTTGTTAATTGAAACTTTGTTTTAATAGTTAAAGTACAGAGTCTGTCCAAGTCAACTTTACTACTGTTTAGCGGTACCTTCACAAATACAACTTTAGGAAAAACGGTAGAATAATTTCACAAAATACTTTTTCTCAAAATTTTATTTTTGTGTCTCGTAAGAAACATTAAATCCATATTTTTGTGTTTATTTTTTAATATAATTTTTAATTTTCCCAAATTATGTCTAAATTTTCACAAAATAAGTACCTCTCAGAAAAACCTAGGCAGAGCCCTGAAGTATTCTTTAAATTCTCTGTTTTATCTAGTCTTTAAATTTCAATCATGCATTTGTTTCAAAATTGTTGCTATCATTCAAAGCTATGTATTATAGTGAAAAATTATTTTAGTCAGTTAGAGCTTCTAAAATATTATAATTTAGTTTTAATATTCATTTAATTTTGATTAAACGTTTATAAAGTTTTTTTAATCATAAATCAAAGTTCTTACAGTGTATTTGAATAAAAAAAAACTGATTTAAATAAAAAAAATCCGATTTAAATCAAAGTATGATTTATTTTATTTTTTTAAAAAGATCACAAACCCTGGTTTTAACTCACTAGCCCCGATTTAACAAGAACTCAGATTTAACGAAATAAGTTGGTACGATGTTAAGTTTATTAGAACATAGCTCTCTTTTAATGATTATTCAGCCAGCAATTTTGTGATTCATAATATTCAAACTTAATTACCCAGCTTCAGCTCGGCTAATCTCTAACTGAAAAAATTTCCTTTTCGTGTTTGTTGCCTGAGCCCACGTTTCACTAGCCCTTGGTTGTTACGAGCAAATTTTGTGGCCTCTTTGTGCTGGTTATGAGCGTGTTTGTAATTATTAAAAAATTTGTTTCTCATAAATTTTATTTTCTTACTATTATTATTTCAGATTGTGATGAAGAACTCTTTGAAGATAATCCTGAAGAGTACATTCGAAGAGATATTGAAGGCTCTGGTAATTGATTTTGTAATAAGCATGAATTTTAGTTGCAACTTCATAAGTGTTAAACGTAGGAAGGACTCCCAATTTTGTTTTAACAGTCCTCTTTTTATTATACATCTTTTTTTTTCAATCTGGGAACTATCAATTGTCTTATTAAACTTTATTGTCCTCTTGTATATTGGATTCATAATACCCTGTAACATTTGTGGTTCTTGTGAAATATTTTTCCCATTGTTAGTGAACTAAAGCAGAAAGTTTTAAAACAAAATTTTTAAAAAAAACCTTTTTTAAAAACATTTTTTATGTGCATTGGTTGGCCAATTTCTTTTAATTTATAAAAATATTAATGTATCACGACTCAAAAAAAAGTTCTTAGGAGATAAAAGATAGGTCGGACCAATGTCTTCAATGATGTTATAGTCTTATTTAAAAAAATTATATTTTACTCTATTATTATAGGAAAAAAAACATTAATAGCACATGAATAATAAGAGTTATAAAAAAAGCAGCAATAAAAATTGAAAATATCTGTTACTTCCTGAGAAGCAAAATTAATGGAGAAACAGTACTAAATCGTTTACGTGAAAGGTAAAAAATCATCATAGGAAACCCTGATGTAGATTTTTTATAAAATTAAATATGATCTTAGTTTTTAGAAAAGTAATCTTCATGAATTTCTCTAGAAAGAAATCCTGGATTAATTTTGTACTGAAAAAGCCAAAAGACATCAATTTATTTGAATGTAATTCATTAAGAGACAATACGCAGTCATGATTGAAGACATAAAAGAATAATAACATAAGAATGAAATGACATTTTTTACCTAAGGAGTTGCTCCAATCTTTTAGTTAGCTTAAAACTGCAAGCAGGAGAATGGTTCATCATTATAAATGGGAATACTTAGATATTTGGTTAAAATGATATTTAAAAGAAAATATCCTATTTCTATGTTTTAGATATTGATACTCGTAGAAGAGCCGCTTGTGATTTGGTGAAAGCTTTAGCCAAACATTTTGAAGCCAACATAACCAAAGTTTTTTCAGAATATGTCAATGCAATGCTCTTAGTAAGTGTGGAAAACTTTGCTTTTACATTTTTTGTTGTTCTCATGAATATATACTCTCTGATTCTCCTTGCGGGGAGAATAGAAAGATAATGATCCTTAAATCAGTAATGCACAACACTGTAAAACAGGGTTTGTGATTTTTTTAAATTTTAATCGGATTCTTTTTTATTTTATTTTATTCAAAGACACTGTAAAAACTTTGATTCATGACTAAAAATACTTTATAAATGTTTAATCAAAATTAAAATAATATTAAAACTATATTATAAGAATACTTTAGAAGCTCTAACTACCTAAAACAATTTTTCATTATAATACATAGCTTTGAATGCATAGCAACCATTTTGAAACAAATGGATGATTGAAATTTGAAGACTATATCAAATAGAGAATTTAAAGAATACTTTAACTATTAAAACAAAGTTTCAATTACCAAAATTATAATTTTAATTTAAAATTATGATTATCGAAACCAAGATTATTATGATTATTTTACCAAGGTGTGTAGTGTTTTTAAAAAGTGCTTAAAGGGGATTATTTTTTACTTTCTTTTCTTTAAAATCCCTTAAAGTTCCTTTTTTTTTATTCGGGGTTTGTAAAAAGTGCTTAATTTTCTATATTTTAAAAAGAGGTTTTTCTTTGCCATGTTGATTGTCGTTATAAATTTAAAAAAATGCAAGATTTTTCCCAATTTTCTCTGCAATATTTATCAGAAACTAGCTATTTTATCATGATTATGTAAAGTTTTTGTTTTTAATTTTTCTTGAATTTTAAGTTTATAAATTAAGAAATTTTAAATATAGAAAATTTTTTTTATTACTGCACAGATAATAATTGTAACTTTTTTTACGAAAGTGATTAAAAAATTTTTTTTAAGTGCTTAAAAAGTGCAGAGGTGCTTATTTTTTGTTGAAAAATCTGGCAACGCATCCTGTTTTCCATTCTTGGTTGACAACTTTACGTTTTTGATTTCATATCATTTCTGTTATCTTTACTTTCATGCGTAGCAAGTCTAAAAAATGAGTATCTATTTTTGAAACGCTTGAATCATGTCGACTGTTTATTTCATATTTATTTTTGAAGCGAATGAAGCTTCCTATCATATCTTACCGCTTCAGTTTCTTTGGATTAATTAATTGTCAATTACATCAATATAATTCTTAGTTAATACTCATATTAGTATATTTGGTACCTGTTACATGCGTTTCAAAATTCGAATTTTTTGTGAAATATATTTATCTGTGGTAACTGGATTTTAAAAACTGAAATTTTAAAAACAAATAGAATTCTGATAAGGTCTTGAGAAAAATAACATTTATCTATCTAACCGTTTAATATACTGTTTAAAATGTTCATGAATGGTGGTGAAAAAAAGTTCTTTGAATTCTAATTTATTAAAATATTAATGCACTATCTTTGATACAACTGGAAAAAATATTTACTGAAACTACGAAAAATTAAGAAATCCTCGAGAATAGTAAAATTCCTTATTAAAACTGCTCAAATCTCCATAATACCAAACCTTAATAATACCATATACTTAATACCAAAATTAGTCAAGCATCATCTGCATGACAAATAAATTGATTAGATTATATCCAATTAATACATGTTACCGAAATTAATAAATTAGTATACCCTGCTATTCAAACTTTTGTAATATCTTTAAAACACCTGAATGTCAGGAATGGAGAAATGCTGTGGCAGGGCTGCCACTCCCAAGGGAAAAAACCTGGAAAATACAGGGAATTTAAAAATCACCTAAAATAACAGGGAAAATGCAGGGAATTTTGATTTTTTTTTTACTAACTGGGAAAATACAAAGAATTTTGTTTCTTATTTTCATCTTTTAAAAAATGGTGACCAGTCAAAGCACAATCTATGGGATATTTAGGATGATATTTCAGCTATACTAAACTATTTAATTTACTATAGCATTAAGTGTGCTCAACTGTTCCTTTTAAGTTTTCCAGCTATTAAAACTTATAAATGTAGTTAGCCCAATATAGCTCACACAAGAGCGCAGTAATTGTTGTATTCCTCTTAATATATTGTGTATGCTATGTACAGGGAAAACGCAGGGAATTTTTTTCCCTCCAGATTTGAGCAGCAATTCTGTGTGAATGACTATTAAGTTTGGGATTTAGTTCTTATACCTCAAGTTGTAAAAATTGTAAGATGCAGATGGATCTATACTGTTAAAAAAAGGATGAAAAAGGCAAATTTTGAAGCCATATTAGTAGCAGAAGGCAATGCATATGTAGAAAGGGAATCACATGATGAGGTTTTTAGTCCTGCAGCCTTTGATAAGACTTTAGTTTATTCTCTTTGTGCATTGATTAAAATGATTGTTAACTTTGGAATAATTTGTGCTTACCTCTATGTTAAGCTTATTGTGCAAGTCATTATGAAACCGCCATCATCTTTTGTATCCAAAAATAAACATGACTTTAAATTGAAAAGAGCCCTGTATGAACTTCACCAAAGTGGTCGAGAATGGTTCTCAGGAATTGATAATATTCTATATAAACTTGGTTTTTTAAAATTTCAGTGGTGTAATTGTGTTTATATGTTTATTGTATTATTGCTTTTATGTGTTGGGGGCAATGTAATTTTATAGTAAACTTGGCTAGATTTTGATTCAATTGCTACAAAGATAAATTATTGTTTTGATGATACAATTTTAGGCAAAATTCAAAAGTTGTTGGAATTGTTGATCAGATTTTTCAAAAATTCTCTAGGTTTATTTTTCTTTATTCTTTACTAATAGTGCAGATAAAAAAAAAAAAAGATTTACTCTGGGAAAGAAACATACACTAGGATGTTTGGCTTCCAATGCAAATCTAACTCAACCAAATTTGAGTTATGCAGTCTATATGTTATCACAATTCCAGAAAAATCCTGTTATGATAAATGGGTATATTTTGCTTAGATTATTAGACTATGTGAATGACACGAAAAAATTATATGTTAAATTTAAATAACATTAGTAGTAATTAAATTTAAATTGTTTCTCAGATACTGATTNTTCCAGAAAAATCCTGTTATGATAAATGGGTATATTTTGCTATGTGAATGACACGAAAAAATTATATGTTAAATTTAAATAACATTAGTAGTAATTAAATTTAAATTGTTTCTCAGATACTGATTTTGCAACAACTATAGATGAGTTATTTTACTTCTAAAGTTATTATTATTGATTTTTGTTTTGTTAAACTTCTATAGATTAAGGAAAATACATTTATAAATGTTTCATCTCGTTATTTGTTGTCTTATATGTATACATATATTATTTTTCTAGAACTATAACAAAGATTCTAAACAGCACTGGAAAAGCAAAGATGCAGCAATATATCTTGTAACATCAATGACAGCCAAAGGTCAAACTGCTAAGGTAATGCTTGTATTTGTTTTTTTATATGAAATGTTTTTATAGGAATTTTAGGTCAAGTTATAAATAATGTCTTGTCTATCTCTATTAGGTTTAAAGAGAATATTTTAAACTGTGCTTGCCTCTATCTACAGTCTAATTAAGCCCAGACTCTATTTTATTTTAATCAAGTTTTAATTTATTTTAAAAACTTGTTTGCTTAACAAACAAGTTAAAAATAAAAATTGTTAACTGGTGAATGTTTTATTAAATCATTATTTTATTCTGATAGTATAGTTAATTATATTTGTTTGATAAAGAAGCATCTTCCACATATAGTTTATCTAAGCTATGAACTCCTCCCGCCACAAAGTCTGAGGCCGTCTGGTGCTATGGAAACAAGAATGGTGCATTTTAAGGAGGATAGCTTCACTCTAGGACTAACACAATAGACCGAATAAAGAGATTCCCTTTCTCCCACCGACCCGAGTCAAAACCACTCCAAAACAGTGCCCCCGCACCCCTACTTGAAATAGTCATACCTCATTACCATAGTCACCGTCACAGGTCCAGGCGAATGTCTGGAGGAGTTCTTATTTTAGACAAACTGTACTTTAAATTGTATTATTAATTCTATCAACCTAATTTACATAATGGATTACATATTTCTTTCAACATACTTTCTTGACAAACATTATGTAGGAAACAACCTCAATTTTGTTGTTTATTAGTTGTTTTTATTCTTTAAGTTTTTTAACGAAACCAGTTTTTATAAGTTAAATTTTTTTGATAATATTTTTGTTTTCAGACAGTTAATTTTGAAAAGCTTTTAAGCTGATGAGGTCCTTCTAAATGTATAAATTAAATTAAATTAAATACCTCTGCAAATAAAAACTGTTTTAGATAATTCTTTATTTTACCATTAATATCTATCTATATATATATGTGTGTGTGTGTACTAAGGATGTAACGAATATTCTGCCATTATTCGGTACTCGGCCCTTTTCCCGGATAATGGTCAAATACCAAATAATCAGAATGGTTGGTTGACCGAAAAATTGGCCAAATATTCAGTTAAGTGTCATTTTGAAATTTTTTTTTCAAACAGTTTTATTTTTGGAGGATAAAAATTTGAATAGATTTAATAAAAAATAATCCGAAATTTTATTTTTTACTATACATTATTAGAAGTTGCTTTTACATGTGTTTGTTAAGCTCTAAAACTTTTTAATTTATGTTCTGAAAGACAAAAATGAAATTTGAAGAATTGAAACTAGATTACTTTATACTGGACCACGAGTTTAGTATTGGGGATTTTTTATTATTTTTTAATCTTATATTCGGGCAAGTCAATCTCGTTTTTTCAACACTTTATGTTTTAAAAAGGAATTATTTGTTTTATTTTTGCTTCTTTTTCCTTATTAACTATACCTCAGCATTTGACTGGAGCATTTTTAGTAAACTTTATTCTTTTGTCACTTTTTTCCTGTACGGTAAGACAGATAACCTGTAAGATACGGAAACTGTGATTCTGAACGTTACAATTATATTTCAGAACTAAGAACATTTTTTTTTCTGTTTCTCTTCAACTTTTTTTTTAATCAGCGTTTTCATTATGACAGCATTTTTTAAAGAGCGTCTCTAATGAACTTTACTCTTTTATATTTATTTTTTTCTAAAAATACGGAAATGTGAAAAAGTTAATTTGAGATTTTTCGCATTAAATCTCTCATTTTAAAAGATTTTAAGGATTTTTGTTTTGTTTAATCTAAAAATTAAGAATGATTCATTTAAAAATTAACGGTTTCTATTTGGCTTTTTCTTTTGCAAAAAACTTTTTTAATGATGTTTTTACTATGACATGGTAATTAAGAATATTCCTATTAGTTTTTAAACTTCACTTTTTATTGAAAACTGAGATGTTAAGTTTTAAAATTTACTTTTGTATATAATCTTGTTTTTATGAAATTTTATAGGACCCTCTTAATTCATCAATGGCTCGACAGCCCAGGGAAAGCTTTGGCCTTCTCAAGAAGTTTTTTCCAGGCTAGCCTTTTTCCTGCTAGTGTTTTCCAGTTTTTAGTTTTTAAGACCAAAAGGTCTTTTTCTAGGTCATCCATCCATCTCAAATTCGGCGTACCTCTTTTTCGTGTGTCAACTGGTCTGGCATTGAAAACTCTTTTTGTGGTACAGTCTTTGTCGATTCTAATGACGTGGCCTGCCCATTTTATTCTTTGTCGTTTAATATAGTTAGTAAAGTCAGGTTCATTACAGGGTAACAAAAAAATATAGGGATCATTTTTGAATGTTTATATTTCCAAAATTTATTACATAAATTCAGCGATGCTTCTCAATATGTCGACCTCCGGCATAATAGATTTGTCTACAACGCTTCGGTCAGGATTTTAAAGCCCGCAAAATGATTTCCTGGGGGATTTTCTTCACCTCTTCTCTAATAGCTTTTTGAAGGCCTCTCAATGTAGAAATTCTTCGCTTATTCAGTTTGCTTTTCAGATGTCCCCATAGGAAATAGTCGCATGGTGCAGCATCAGGACTGTTTGGAATCCATTGTTCTGGTCTCAGGAATTACACTTGCTGATCTGTTAGGAATTTCTGGGTGACCTTAGATGCATGC